AGTGATAGAACCCCAGCGATGTCACCCCAGCTGTGTGCCGGCACCCCAGCGATGGCACCTCAGCAATGGCACCCCAGCTGTGCGCCGCACCCCAGCGATGGCACCCCAGCGATGGTACCCCAGCATTGGCCAGTGTTTCCTGCGTTTCCAGATGTTCGATGAGCAGAGACCAGAAGTCCTGCCCCTCTTGTGCCGCGTGGGGACGGAGACGGGTGGGAGCCGGCCTGTCCCGGAAGCCTGCGCCCTCCAGCTGTCTGCGGACGGCAGGTGCAGAGCAGCGCCCACGGGAAGCCAGAGACTCCTGGGCTCCCGGCACGTTGTGGAGGTTGAGGGGACAGGGTCCCCTCCCCGCAGAGACTGCTCGCTTGGGGCTCGAGCTGATCCTGTTAGCAGTGGGACAGATGTCTCTCCGGAAGACCCGGTGAGGGCGTGTGCCCCCTGGGCAGGCTCACCGAGCCCTGGTTGGACTTGCAGGGTACGTGCCCTCTGCGTTCTTCACTAGGAGAAGTATTGTCACTTCCGAGGCAGACAGACTGCTGGCAGCATCCGGATCTAGTACCGCCGTGTGGTGGCAGCACCGTCTGTCCTCCAGCACCATTGGGGGACCAGCAGGGCCACCCGGATGGAACCTGATTGCATTTGGTTTATTTAATTTGGATTTATTGCTGCATTCGTGTCACATTGATAGGATCGCCTCCATCCCAGAGTCCAAGCGTGTGAAGAGCTGGCCTCCCAGGAGCCGACACAGGAGACTTAAATATCACTCGTCTTTATCCGGTGATGGAAACCTCTCCTCCTCCAATATTTTACCAACTTAGGCGGCTGCTGGAAACCTTGACGCGCGGCTGTCATGTTAAGTGAGGGACTCGGGCTCTCTGTTATGAATTACCTTTTTTATGTCCCCTGGAGAATTATGAGGGGGCAGATACCCCCTCGTCACCCTCCGGAGCCAGTGCATGGAGCCACTAGGGGGCACTCGCTCTTGCTGTTTGGAACTCGTAATTCCCTGACCCATATTTCCCTTTGGAATGTTCTGACGGAACATTCTGAATGTCAGAACGTGCGTGTGTTCGCTTCATAGATCTGAGAAACAGCCACGTGGGAGGGGCCGCAGGAAACCTGTCCTCACGGTGCTTCCCAGAACACCCTGGGTTGGGCTCTTGACAGGGTTGTGACCTTTTGTGGGTCGGCGCCGTGGGGACGTCCTCTCCAACAGGTGGCTCCCTCTCCCTGGGTCTTGTCACCCAGACGGCCATTCAGGAGGGGGCATTTGAGCTGTGCAGCGAGAGGGACGTGAGCAAGCAGATTTAGAGGGATCCCAGGGTATGCGCTCTGGTGGAGGGCGTTAGCGGGCGGCTCAGAGCAGAGCCCTTGGTGAGGGGCAGGCCAGCCCTTGACGCCTACCCCGGCCTTGAGCTCTGGGCACCCCGCGGCGCTGCCCACTCCTCCGGGGCCTGGTTAGGGCACTTGTGCACCTGGGTTTTCTAGCACCGCCAGCAGCAGGGTGGACAGACATTAGACACCTTTGCAGTGACTCTCCCTTGTCAGTGCCTGGAGCACGCACCTTCTCCCATGTCCTCTGTGCTCAGGGGACATCTGGGCGTGGGGCGTCTTTACCAGGTGCGCGCGTCTCTCACACGAAGAGCCTGTCTGCGCCCGCAGGTCCAGAGCCACTGCCCAGCGCTCGGGTGCGTGCTGGACTTTGGTCGCTGACTTAGTGGCATTCTGGCAGCTGCTGGTGCAGGCAGGGTCCCGGGACCCCCGGCTGTGCTCGGGTGCGCGTCCCTCACTATCCCCGACTGTCCAGCCTGCCTGAGCAACGGCGACAGCTGCGGGGGGATGCTTGTGCAGCCCAGCCCCTGCCCTGCCGTGTCCCCGGCTGTGCTGGGCCTCCCTGGGCACCCAGGGCGCAGGAGCCCCTCAGCACCGAGACCCACGGCCACCCATCTCTGAGCTGGCTGTCCTAACCTCTGCGTGGCTTGCTCCTTGTCCCCATTCCCTGTGGTTAGAGCCCCAGGGAGAGGATGACTGTGTACCCTCAAGTAACTGGGAATACGGGCCTTTCCGATGGGTTTGGCATATGCATCCTTGGTGTCTGAGAGCCAGCCATCAAATACTGAGGGGCCCTTCATTTTCAAGGCCCAGTGAGGAAGTCTGTTTTTCCAGGTCTTTCTTTAAATCACGGCGACGCTGTCTTCAGCAGTGCTGACCCCTTTCTCGGCCATGCTTTTGGTGCCGGCTGTGCCTCTGTAATGGTGCCAGGCCCCCCCGCCCCCCAGTCTGAGACCTGAGCTGACTGACCCCTCAGCTGGATGTAGGTGGCTTTGTTCCCCTGGACAGCGTTGTCCTCTGTGACCGCCCCTCATGAGGCCCGCCTGCTGACTCCTTCCCCAGTTTCCCCCTGGAACGCACAGCGGTGTTCAAGAAAAGCATTCCCAGGAGGACAGCTTGCATTGGGGGACAAAGGGCTTCGGTCATACGTGTTGCCGAGGGCTGGCCCCGGGTCGGGCACGGGCAGCAAGGTGGTCGTGCTGTGGGGCCCCCAATGTTTCCGGAGAGGCCTCTGCTCCCTCCAGCCTGGAGGATGTCTCCACGAACGCCTGGCCTTCCGTTGACTTGTGCACCTGTTTGCATAACTTTCCGAGACCCCTGCCCAGTCCCCTCGGCAAAGGCACGGTCTGTGGAGCGTTGGTGTTCAGATTTGAGTGATCCTGCACGCATCCTCCAGGCAGAGAAGGCACCAGGACACAGGTCTTTGTGTGACCCAGAGGGTCTGTGTACAGTTTGGGCTTCTAGAAATCGACAGAAGGGCGCCTTTTGGTTGAGCTTTTGTTGACGGTGATTTTCAGCAAGTGGAGGCTAACTGGGGAGTGACAGAGGGTCAGAGGCCGAGGCGCACATGGTTCCCAGCTGCGTGGCCACTGAGCCGCCAGAGCGTGTGCAGAGCCGTGGGTTCTCCTGGAGTTTCCGTGTTCTTCTGGAGACCAGAGCCCTGTGGCTACTCAGCTGGACGCTGGTGTTGCTGCTGGAAGGGGCACGTGCGGGGCGAGACTCCGGGGCCAGCAGCTACTTTCCATGATGGCTCCGTCCACGAGCCGTCCTGCCCCCTGCCCGTGGTCATCGGTTCAGCAGGGAGCATTTTGGTTCCTACAGAGATGCAAAGTTGCACCTTGTAATGACCATTAAATTGTAGCTTCTTTTTAAGTTTATTTACTTTGAGAGAGAGAGAAAGTAGGGGAGGGGCAGAGAGAGAGAGGCAGAGAGAGAATCCTAGGCAGGCTCCATGCTCAGCACAGAGCCCAACTCGGGGCTTGAACTCACAAACTGTGAGATCATGACCTGAGCTGAAACCAAGAATTGGACACTTCACCAGCTGAGCCCCCCAGGTGCCCCGAAGTTCTTTTAAATTCCACCAACAGCCGTGAGTATGTGCACTTATTCTCACACCAAGGGGGATGTGATAGCCCCTCACCCTTGCACCACCCCCCCCCACATTGTTGCCAGGCCTTACACGTGGCCGTGGCCTCTCCTCCGTCCGTGTATCTGTGTCGGGTGCACGTGGCTCTTTTTGATGTGCTGTCGCTGCTCGCATGCCGCCCGGTGGCTCCTGGCCCAGCCGTGCCCTGTGCTGGAGCTCCGGCGTCCCAGCCCCGGGGGCGTCCTTGTGGCCTCGGGGAGCCTCTTGGGGGCACTGAAGGGGCCATGCTGCAGCGGACACGGTGTTCTCTGTGGTGTGGCTGATGGTGGTTTCCTTTGGGAAGCATCTTAGCCAGTGACCACCACGCAGGGCAGTGGACAGAAGCCCTGGAGCCGGGGTGTTTTGTGGCTTTGGTGTGTTTTCACTCAGGCCTCAGCCCCCTGGGTGTCCCGGCCCCGCGGTCACCAGGGGGCATCATTTTAATCCGCCACCAGAGCCTTTCTTGTGCTGATTTATTCTCTAGGAAGATAGGATTGCATGAATCCTGATGTAAAGAATTATGAGAAACGTACCACGCGGCACCCAGCTTTGGGAACGTGAATGAACAGGGGCGCGTGGGGAGGTTTGGACGGCAGGCTCCGGTTCCTCTTAGCGGAGGGGCCATTTCCTGCAGTTGTATCCTCACTGCCAAAGTCAGTGGGGCTTTCCAGAGTCCCTGTTCCGGGTGGGACACAGCAGGACTCGGTGGCTGGATGGTTACGGGGAGGAGGGTGGCCGAAGCAGGGCAGAGGTGTGCGGGCTGACAGGCTCCTCACCTCCTCACCTCCCAGGAGGCACAGCCTGATCACTGACTTGCCGTGAGCACATTTTGGGTGCTGAAGTTTCTAGGACCAGAGTGTTTCTAAGTTCTTGGGAGGCATCTGCCTTGGCCTGTTAGGAAGGGGCAGGTGGGCAGGTGGGCCACTGACGGGGGTGCCCTCTGGACTTGGAAGGCGGATGCAGCCCGGGGCCTATGGGACCTGCATTGGCATCCCCAAGGTCAAAGGACACATGTGGCCTCTTGCTCTGGGGGCCTCAGGAAGGCCTGGCCTCTACCCCTTCTGGCCCCACCATGCCCATGCCTGGAGTGAGTGGGCATCAGCGGGGCCAGGAGACAGGAAAAGCGGGGTGCAGTCATGTCCATCTGTTTAGAAATTCCTTACTTAAGGAAATGTCATGTCCACCGCAGCTGGGGAGATGCCGGGCCCCCCGACATGGGACCGTAGCTCTTTGAGGTCAGGGGATCGTGAACAAGGGGAAGATAGAAATACCCGGGGTGGGCATGTCAGGACATTCATGGGTCACGGAGCCCACCCATGGTGAGACCACACGGTCAGAGAGCGTGAGGCCCCTTCGCTCCTCCGTCACCCGGAGAGCCGTCCCCACTCTGGCCCACCCGCAAGTCTCTCCAAACTGCAGGGCCACTGCACAGCTCTGTCCCGCTGCCCAGCACCCCTGGCAGCACCGGTCACAGCCCAGGGACAGATGGTCCGGCCCTGGCCAACTTGGGCTCCTGCCCCACCTCCATCTTCTTCCCCTCCAGGCCCACCAGCGCCGCCAGCCCCGGGGCACGCTGCCCCGCAGGACTCACCCATGGGACCCGGGGTAAGTCCAGGCCTGAGAGGCCTGTTTCAGAATTCCGCAATCGGCTACTTAAAAGCTCCCGGGGCACGACTTTTCTCTGCATCCTGAAGAATAGTGGTGTCCTGTTTGTTTGGCTGGGGTTGGGGAGGGGAGGGACCGAGGTGCTGTGTCCTGACCCCACCCTGCCCCCTCCCCACCCCCACCCTGCCTGGCTGTGCAGAGTTCCCAGCTTTCTGTGCTGCTGGCAGCTGCCAGTGTTATTAGTGATTTTCCAGTCGGCCATCAAAGGCACATTTCAATACTTTAAAGAATGATGTATTCTCCCCGGCAGCCATGTCTAATGGCTCAGAGATCCTTCAGGCCTGAACAGCCTTTGTGGTGTTTCGGAGCCCCCACGGTGTGGTCTTCATCTCTTCCTTCCCCACTGTCTCTGCCAGGAGAGGGTGCCTGGCAGTGACCCGTGTCCTGGGCAACGAGGTCACGGCTGCTCCGGCACCAGGCAGGCCCCCAGGCTGAGCAGCTGGGGCTGCTAGAGACAGGCCGCGGCCAGCAGAGACCGGGTGTGCAGATGACCACGTGTCAGACAGCGGACAGTTCTGTGTTCGAGGGTTTCCTGCACAGGAAGAGAGGCCGGGCTTGCTGCCGCCCTCTGGAAACCTGAGTGCTGTAGCCTCGCCCACGGTTCTGGCTGCACCACTGTGTACGGGGTCAGACTTGGCTTGTCTTCCAGCCAACGTCGTCTGCCAGCAGCCCCTTTGAAACCGACTTTCTAGAAAAGTTGAATAATTCAGTATCAGACGGTCCCAGAGAAGCGGCTTTACTGTATAACCTGCAGCCTGGAAACTGGCTTAGTAGTGAACGTATTCACCAGGAGACACGTGTTTGGAGACAGCCTCGCAGACTTCCGGGCTGGCCGGTTCAAGCATTTTCCTTTGAGAAGTTTCCACATCACCCTAGATGTTCAGGGCTCACAGGACAGTGCTGCCTGCTTCCGGGGACAGGAAAGGCTCTGAGGGCAGCTGAACAGATCCTGTGGCTCTTCTCTGCCCCCTCGGGATGCCCTGGGCCCCCCACTGCCACATCCTCCCACTCGGTCGTGTGCCTTCACCACCTCTTTGTATGTCGGTCCTTCGGGCAGCTGTCGCTGTGTGTTAGAGTCCAGGATTTGAGAGACGAGTCTCCGGTGGAGTGTGGGCCCCTTTACAGCTGCACTCACCTCCCAAACGTCTGTGATGTTTGTGGAAGACTGACCATGTGCCAGGTCCCCTGCCAGCCACTCCCCCTTCCCCCCCCGCACGGCGTCTCGCTTCTTTCCCGTGTGGTCCCGTGACTTAGGTGCTCTCTTCACCCCCGTTGTACAGGCGAGGACACTGAGGCACAAAAATAAGTGTTTGGTGACTTGCTCACGGTCACGCGATCGTAGTGACAACATGGGGACTCCACCCCAGGGGTCTGTCCCTAGCGCCCGCCGAGGCTGCCATCACAGTCGTTGCCCTGGTGGGAGGCCCATGTTGTGGGAACACGGGCACTGGAACCCAGGAGGGTCTTGGGGACTGTTGGTCCCCGGCTGGAAGTGAAGTCAAGAGCCTGGCTTCCTGGCCCTCCTTTTCTCCACTTGCTCCTCTGTGTTGTGTCAATAATAGTTTGTACGCGGCTGTGACCCTCTGGTAACATGCACAGGCTTGCGTGTCCACAACTAAACCAAAAGAAATCAGGAGCGGTTTGGGCTCTAGAGCAGCCACGGAGCACGAAGCCACAGCCTTCCCCCCGCCCCCCCCGCCCCCGCCTTCTCTGCCGTGCTCACTGGGCCTGTGCCGGCGGGGGCGGGGGGCTGTGATGGGGCGGGGGTGCCTCTCACATCTCATCCACGCTTCCTCCCCCAGTTGTCTCTCTCCCAGCTGGCGGCTTCCCCACAGGTGGCCACCCGGTGCCGCTCGGCCACACCCTCGTCACCGCACCCCAACAGCGGCTCTGAGCCCTGCCCGGCCCAGGCGGTGAGTGCTCCTCCCTCCTTCCTCCGGGGGGTGACTCTGAACCCTGACTGCTGCTGAGGTCTCTGGCTTTGTGAGCTGTACTGGTCCTTGGTGAGGCGGCCGAGACCTTCACGGGCTCTCCATGATACGGACATGGAGGGGGGGGTGGCTTAACCTCCTTGCTTCAGGCATTTGTCACCATTCTGTCCTGCTGGCCACGAGCATGTGGCTTGGGAGCTCTTCCTGCCACAGGGCTTAATTAGGCTTTTGCTCCACCTGCCAAGACAAAGTCAGACCACCCTCAGATCTCTGTGCATGAAAGGTGAAGGAGAGTTTTGCCGGGGCTATAAATAGAGGCTGATCTAAGCCCCCAGCTCCCGGGACACCCCCCCTTGCTGCCAGCAGCTGAAGGGCAGGCAGTGAGGCCCATCGGCCTGGATTCTGGCGCATTCCGGGCTCAGATGGGCCTGTGCTTCCACTGACCTTGGGGAGTGCACATCAAGTCTGCATTCAAAAGCTGGCTGGCGCACCTGCAAACCACGTCTTCAGTCTTATACTGGAGGTCTGTTGAGGAAAAATAGTGCCATTAAATTATTTGAGCACACTCATGGTACCATGAAATCTATGCGGGGCACATGTATTTAGGAAGAGCCTGCGTCTCTGAGTAGTGACAGCTGAGATGTGTTAGAGTTCTCCCTGGCTTCATGGCGTTCCTTTGGAACAGAAAGCTGGGGAAGCAGGCTCCGATCCCGAACAGCCTCTCTGTTAGACACGGCTCCTGCTCTGGAGGGACGTGGAAGGTGGGAAACAAGGGATGACAAGAATATGCAGGTGATGTGGGATGAGAGCAGGGTCTGCCGGGCCTGGGCACCCGTGTGTCTTGTGGCTTGAAGGAGGGCTCGTTTTTCTGTTCCACAAACGTGGTTTGTATAATTGACCTTCTCAAACAGCACATCTGTCTCATGACACCTGTTCGTAGAACCGACACTACCTTTCTGGTTGCTTCCCGACTCATGCAAAATACGAGGTGTCCCAATAGCTCGAATTTCAGGTCAACAGTGACTTTTTAGTGTCCGTTAGTCCCGGCTATTTTGCGGGACACTCTTCTATGATACCGAGATTACTCATTCTTTACTTGACATTAAAAGGCAACTGGGCCTCCTGTGTCTTCATTTGCTGAAGCTGCCAGTCCGACAGAGGAGGTGGTTGGTCTGAACCCCACAGCCCAGCACCCTTGGTCGTTACGGGCTGGGGTCCTGGCCAGCCTCACGCGGGGCTGCATTTCCTCAGCAGGGGCTCCCCTTGGACAGCGGGATCTCCCATCTGGAAGCCGAGCTCAGCCAGGCGTCCATGGTCCTGGGAGCATCTGTCGCTGAACACTTGCAGGAGCTGCCCTTCACGCCGCTGCACGTCCCGATCGTGGCCAGAGCCCAGGCCAGGAGGTGAGGGGCGGCCGTGGCGGGGCTCGGCACGTGCGGTGCCGTGAGGATGGACCCTGAACAGCGGGCTTTCCCCAGAGAGGTGGGTCCGCAGCTGCTGCCTCTCCCTGGCTCTTTCCTGGAGGCTGGCCGCGGTGGTCTTTCTGTTTCAGCTCTGGAAGTAAGCTCTCGCGAGCCTCGATGGTGCTCCTGCAGGCCTCTGGCTTTCCCGAGATTCTGGACGCCAATAAGCAACCAGCCGAGGCTGTAAATCCCACAGATCCCGTAGAATTCAACCCTCAGAAGGAAGAATCAGATCGTCTACAAAGCAACGAAATAGTACTGCAGTTTCTTGCCTTTAGCAGGTATGTTCGTAAACCTTCTGTGTTCTTCTTTCCCTGGCTCTCGCTTTCCTTGCACTGAAGGAACACGTCTGTGTGCCTCTGAGCTGGGAGAGCCTCTACGCTGGGATCTTACTAGATTAAGGAATGCTGTGTGTTTCTATTTTCATCTGGCTACGACCCCCATACAGCCATTTCTAAATGCCCTAGAGCCTCCTGTGTGTGATCTTCTGCGATTGAGTGTGTCGTGTTGGCTGGTTCTTGGGTATTTGTGCGGCTCCGCGGGCAGGCTCTCCAGCCGGGGCTGAAGTGGGGTGCTGTCCGGCGGGCTCCCCGGGACGCCAGGGGAGCTGCTCGCGTGGGTGGGCGAGGCAGCGTGTCGCTCTTGAAAGCCCAGGTTCTCTGCTCTGGAGGCTTGATTAACTTGGGCTCTTACTGGCTTCAGAGCTTCCCAGGACAGCGGGGCAGCGCCGTGGCCGCAGACCGTATACTTCACCTTCCAGTTCTACCGCTTCCCGCCCGTGACGACGCCGCGGCTGCAGCTGGTCAGGCCGGACGACACGGGCAGGACGCACTGCGGGTCCCTGCTGTACCTCCTGGTCCCGGGTGACAGAGACGGTTCCTCCGATGCCGGTAAGCGCTTTTGCTCCTGGCGGGCGTGACGAGCCCTGCCCAAGCCTTGTCTGCAAACTGTATTTCTTTTTTATTTTTTATTAAAAAATTTTTTTAAGCGTTTTATTTTATTTTTGAGAGAGAGACAGAGCCCGAGCTGGGGAGGGTCAGAGAGAGAGGGAGACACAGGATCTGAAGCAGCTCCAGGCTCCGAGCTGTCGGCACAGAGCCCGACGTGGGGCTCGGACCCACGAACCGCGGGATCACGACCTGAGCCGAAGTCGGACGCTCAACCGACTGAGCCCCCAGGCGCCCCTGCAAACTGTATTATTTACAAATGCCGCACAAGGAAACATTTCTAACACGTACAGAGTTTGAAGGACCAGTGTAGTGGACCCGCACGCTGACTGCAGCGGCTGTCGACTGTGCTCACCCCCACCCCTCCCGACCCCCTCCCCCACCCCTCCCCGAGCCACGGTCGCTTCAGCGCAAACCCCAGACTGCTTCTGATCTCATCCACCAATATTTCCGTACGTGTATCTAAAAAATGAGGAGTCCTTTCTGAACACCATAAACTCAGTATTATTCCCCTTGAAATTAATAATAATCCCATAATGCCATCAAATGTTTAGCTAATGTTAAAGTTTTCCCAATAACTTCATACTTTTTTTTAGGTTAAAGAAGCGTTGTTTTTGTTTCTTTTTTTTTGAGGATGATAACATTTTTAATGTTTTTTTCATGTCAGGATCCCTATACACTGCAGTGGCGTGGCTCTCACGCCTGTGTGTGGATCCCCCTGCCGTCTGCGCCCCCCACCCCCACCCCCGCCGTCCCCGGTCTCTGTTTTTGTTTTATTTGTTGAAGTAGCCGCGTTGCTTGTCCGGTGGAGCTGCCCACAGTCTGTGCTGGGGTCTTGCTTCCCAGTGGCGACATTGAGAGTGTCCCTCTCTGTCCCCTGTTTTCCCTGCACGTTGGGAGTGAGATCTCTGTGCACGGCCAGAGGCCTGTTTTTGTCTGGGGCAGGAATTCTCCGGGGCCGGGGCCATCCTCACCACCTCTTGCAGCCACACGGAGCCTGGTCGCTTCTTTCTGTGCGGTGTCGGTGCCGCTAGGTCTGCTGCCGACGGGCCGGCTCTTTGCTCAGTGTTGAAGTGGCGGCGTTCTCCTTCCGGAACCCCTCTTTTCCTGCCAGCTGGAATGCCTCCATGAAGAGAAACTTGCTGAGGTTCAGTTCATGTCGGAAAGGCAGAATAATGCTCAGTTCTTCCCTTTTATTTACTAATTTTCACCATAATTAGCCTGTTCCCTAGCATCCACCCAGAGTGGGGCGAAGGCTTTTGCTTCTCGTATCGTTATAACCAGTGGATTTAAACTGCGGTAGATCAAAGCAGATAAAAAGGGTTGTTTTTATTGATGGTCAGTTAGTTACCCCGCTTTGGTCAGTCACAGGGTAAGGGGCAGCGCTTGGGAACCTCGAGGCTCTTAAGTAGAAAGAGCAGGTGGAAAATGATGTGTTAAATGCTAATCAAATGGAGGTAGTTTAACGACATTAGCATCAGACAAAAGAGACAAAAGGCAAATGCAGCACTAGAGATAAAGAAGCCTATGAAATATAATCAAGGGGATAATCACTAGGAAAATAACTGTATCTGTTGAACTTGCAACAAATGCAGCCTCAAAATAGAAAAGAAAAATTGACGGACTTTATAAGAAGAAATTGACTAACCCGCAGTTGTAGAAGATGGGACCAGCCTGTGGCAGTGAGTTGACACATCAGGCAGAAAATCATCGGGGAGATTATAAAAATACAGTCTAAAAAGATGGTCTTGTAAAACCTGCAGAACCAAGCGTACTTTGGGACTTACAGAAACCGATCACGCGTGTACGTGTGTACGTGCTTTAGGCCATCACGCAGGCATCGCCACGTACCGGCAGACTCCGTATCTGATCTCATGGTATGACGTTCTCTGACAGTAACACCACAGATCAGAAATCAACCATTCCCTCCCCCTAAAAGGCTCTGAACTGCCAGAGGTTTGTTTTTTTTTTTAATTTAAAATATATTTTTAATTATTCTATAGGTTAATGAAGAAATAAAAATAGAAATGACTGTTTTACTTATTTTAAAATCTTTATTCATTTTAGAGAGAGAAAGAGAGCGAGTACAAGTGATGGGGGACAGAGAGAGAGGGAGACAGAGGATCTGAAGCGGTCTCTATGCTTAGAGTTCAGAGCCTGACGTGGGGCTTGAACTATAAACCAGGAGATCATGGCCTGAGCCCAAGCCGGATGCTTAACCAACTGAGCCACCCAGGCGCCCCAGGGGAAATTTAACAGCTTCAAATGCTTGTATTGGGAAAGAAGAAAGTATATTTTAAAATGCTGATCTACTTGTTCAACTCATGAAGTTTGGGGAAAAACCAGAACAAATCCAATAAAAGTAGAGGGAGAGAAATTTTAAAATAAGTATAAATGCTTAGAAAACAGCAGACAGGGTCAGCCAAGTTGCTGGGCAGGAAGGGTCACAGGTACAGCGGGCCTAAGGCCGGACTCAGTGGGGAGGGTCAGAGCTGTTGGGGGCCTTGCTGGGTCCCAGAGCCGGCGTCTTGCTGATGCTCCCTCCGTCCGTGGGCTTCGCTGCAGCAGAGGAAGGGCTGTGCACCGCCGCAGACCCTGGGGCAGAGCCCTCGCCCCTGCTTGGCTGAGGCCCCTGGCATCCTCTCTCCCTGCAGGCAAATCTGAAAAGAGAGGGGAAGGGGGCGCAGCTCGGGTCTGCTGCTTCTCCAAGATCCTCCAGCCGATGAGCTGTTCTTGGTGGGGGAGGGGCCTGCACCAGGCAGAGGGTGGGTGCAGGAGTCCCTCTGCTGGGAAGCGTGTGGCCAGGGAAGAACCTTCTGCCACATTTCAGGACCTTCTGCCACATTCCAGGTTTTGTTCTCTCCACTTCCTGGGTTTCCCAGCCTTCCAGGGACCACTTCTCCCAAACTGACCACCTTCCCTTTGTGCCCCCTCCCAGGAGCATTGGTGGACAGTTTAGCTCATGTCCCCAGAAGGCTCCGAGATGGACCAGAATGGTGCACTGACTTCAGGGCTCCCGTGCACCTGTTACTGAGTATGCGTCTCCTGTTCCATTTCCTGTTTCCAGCCCCATCCGGCCACGTTATCCTGGGCTGCTCTCGGGAGGTTCTGCGGTGAGGTTACAGGCAGTGTGCAGGCCATTCCATACAAAAGGCCCGATTCGAATATAAACTCTTCTATCTTATGAATTTCCCAGAGAGAAATCAGTTCAAAAATTAAATTTCCTGGGGCGCCTGGGTGGCTCAGTCTGGTCAGTGCCTGACTTTTGGTTTCGGCTCACTCGGGTCATGATCTTGCAGTTCAGGAGTTCCAGCCCCCGCCGGGCTCTGCTCGGATGCTGCAGAGCCTGCTTGAGATTCTCTCTCCCAGTCTCCCTGCCCCTCCCGCACCTGTGCCATTTCACTTGCAAAATAAAGTGAAACTTAAAAAAATTAAAAAATTAAATTTCTTTGCAACTTGAGGTCCAAAGAAATTAAACTCCAAAACCAAAATTTGTCATTATGAATTAAAAGTCAGAGTCGAGAATTCTCAAGTTGAAGTCTGAAAAAGCTCTTTCTGTGTCTTACCCAGCTGATCCCTGCCGGGGGTCGGGTGGGGTGCGGGGGTCTGGGCTTCCTCCGATGGCCCAGCTTGGGGTCCTCGCAGCCCGGCATGTAGCCCCTCTTGAGCCTCACTCAGGTTATGTTTTCTTTTGTTGTTGAAGTACAACACGTGTGCCACACAGAGCTCAGTTCTATTTAAAAATTAATAGGTTTTATTAGAGCAGTCTTAGTTTCATGGAGAAATTGATCTGGTGGTCCCAAGTTCCCACCTGCCTCTGCCCCCAGAGTCTCCCCAGGTAGGAGCATCTTGCAGCAAATCTGGACATTTGTTGCGGTTGATGGACCGGGGTTGACACTTTGTTGTTAACCGAGGCTCAGCGTTCACACTAAGGCTTGCTTCTGGCATTGTTTGTTCTGTGGATTTTGACAAACACAGAGCATCGATATCCCCATACAGCATTGTACGGAATAATTTCATGACTCTAAATATGCCCTGTGCTCGGCATCCCTCCCTCTCCCTGCCCCCCTGCCCACCTCTGATCTTTCTCCTGTCCCCATAGCCTCCCTTTTCCAAGTGACCTACACTTGGAATTGTATACTGTGTAGCTTTTTCAGACTGGCTTCTTTCACTTAGCAGTACTCATTTAAGATTCCACCGCCTCTTCTCCTGGCTTGTTAGCTCATTTCTTGTTCGTGCTGAATCCTGTTCCATTGTCTGGAGGGACCACGGTGTATTTCTCCATTCTACTGAAGGGCTTCTCGGCTGGTTCCAGTCTTTGCCTTTATGAAGAAAGCGGTAACAGACATCTTTGCTCAGGATTTGCGTGGACATAAATTTTCAGCTCCTTTGGGTGATACCTGGGAGCACATTTGCTGGGTCGTAAAGTAAGAGTGTGTTTGCTTCTGAAGGACTGTCTTCCCGAGGGGCTGCACCGTGTTGCGTTCCCGCCCATGACGAGCGAGCGGTCCTGGCGCTCCCCGTCTTCTCAGCCTCTGCTGTTGTTGGGGTTCTGGAGTTTAGCCGTTCTCACAGGTACACGGTGGTATCTCGCTGCTGTTTTAGTTTGCATTTCCCTGATGACGTGCGATGGGGGAGCCTCTCCTCATATGCCTGCTGGCCACCTGCACGTCTTCTTTGGGGAGGCATCTCTTCATACCTTTTGGTTATTTGTAGATTGGGTTTTCTTCTCTTTCTTCTCTTTCTTTTCTTTCTTTCTTTCTTTCTTTTTTTTTTTTTAAATAGAGCACGAGCAGAGGAGGGGCAGAGAGAGAGGGAGACAAAGAATCCGAAGCAGGCTCCGGGCTCTGAGCTGTCAGCACAGAGTCTGACTAGGCGCTGAATCCACAAACTGTGAGATCCTGACCTGAGCTGAGGAGATTGGGTTTTCTTATTGTCGTGCTTTAAGAGTTCTTTGTATGTTTTGCATACAAGACTTATCAGATGTGTGTTTTGCGAATGTTTTCTCTGCACCTGTGGATAGTCTTCTTCCTGGTCTCGCCAGCGTCTTGTGGCAGGCAGAAGCTTTTAATGGGATGGAATCCAGTTTATCAGTTGTTTCTGTTGGGGGTGGTTTGTCTTCGGTATTAGAGCGCGGACAGAGCTCGGGCCGTTTCCAAGGCTTTGCCGGTTCAGAGAATGCAGCAGTTAGTGACCTGGCGATCGACGTGTTCACTGCGCGTGCGGTGTGTGTGGGGGGGGTGCATTTCTAGCAGTCAGATTACAGATGTGCCAGCCCCCCCACCGCCCCCACCGGGTTAGCGCCCCCACCGGGTTAGCCCCCCACCGGGTTAGCCCGTGACCTTCCTGTGCTCCACTGATGGCACCCAGGGCTGCCTGTTTTCTCGGGGCCTTGTGCACAAAATGGGTCTTCAACCTTTGGGATTGCTACAGTCTGATCCACGTGAGATGGATCTCAGGGAAGTTTTAATTTGCATTTCTGTCATCACGAGCAAAGTGGAGTATCTTTTACATTTGTCCTTATCTGCAAACTTCTATTCATATCTTTTCCCATTTTTCTATCTGATTTTTTTGCTGCTCTGTCCTCGGTTTTAGGAACTCTTTATAGGGAGATTAACTGTTGCCTGTGAGATCAGTTGCAGATATGTTCTCCTGCCTTGTCGTTTTTACTTTGCTTCTGGGGTTTTCCAAAGTATAGTTTTGTTTCTGTCCCGTCTGATGTGTCTGTCTTCTCTTTTATTGCTCCTGAACTTGCCTGGGTCCTGAATAGGAGGGTGTCCTCCTCGCCAGCTCGTAGAGAGAAAGCACATGTGGTCTTTGAGGGTTTGTAGGTTTCATATTTCATGGAGATTTCTGGTTTATTTGTAGTTTATCCTATTATGTGATGGGAGATAGGGATCCAATTTTATCTTTTTTCAAATGTCTCTCCTTTTGACTCAGTGCCATTTATTAAAAAATACATCTTATTTTTTTTAGTGACTTGAGGGCCACCCCTATCATGTACCAACATTTCTTTATTAATTGGGTTTATTTCTGGATTATATATTTTGCTCTATTGGACCAGAGAGGTTGGCAAACTGATTTCTGTTAAGGACCAGGTAGTAAATATTTTAGACACTCTGGGTTACATATGTGCTCTCTGGAATCTTCTTTCTTTTAACAACTCTTTCAAAAGATGAAAGCCATTCTTAGCTCGCAGCTGGAGTGGCATGTGGGCTGTGGTTTGTCAGGCTCCACATTAGACTCTCTGTCACACAAAGCCGGCATGCTGTTTGGTCAGAGGGGCTGCTTGGCCGTGATGTATAGCAGCCCCCGCCCCCCCTCACCCCTCAGTGCCCTTCCCTGCAGCCTCCCCTTCCCCCCTGCACATTCTGGCTGGGCTGGTTTTCCACATGAACTTGTTATGCCCTTTGTGGGGGTTGGGGAATCCATAGGTTAAGGCGAGGAGAACGGCCCTTATGGGGCGGGAGCGGACTTGCCGGGCACAAGGGCATCTCCTCACTCGCTCATTCCTATCTCCCCGTCTTCCCAAAGACCCAGGAGTGTACCTCATGCAGATTTTGCTGTTTTCTTGTTTTCAAACCAACTAAATCTTACCTTTATCTTTATTACTTTTTTTTTGGTGTTCTTTATTGTTATTTTCCTAATTTGACTTGCTCAATTCATTTATTTTAATTATTTCTGTCTTTATGGATGCAGAGGGTTCAAGGCTATGAATTTTCCTTTGGTTGCTGCTTTATGTTTTGGTGATTCAGATAAGTAGTATTTTCACTCTTTTCTAGAAAATCTGTTTTGATTTTATTTTCCATTTGACATAGAATTATTTAAAAGTCAGTTGTAAATTTGTTTTTAAAACTTGTTTCCAATTTCTGGTTGTTGCCTTGTGTCCAGAGAATATTGTTTGTAGTATTTTTTTTTTTTTTTAATTTTTATTTCTAGGAAAGAGAGAGACAGCGTGAGCAGGGGAGGGCCAGAGAGAGAGAGGGAGGTACAGACTCTGAAACAGGCTCCAGGCTCTGAGCTGGCAGTCAGCACAGAGCCCGACGCGGGGCTCGAACCCACGAACTGCGAGATCATGACCCAAGCGAAAGTCAGACGCTTAACCGACTAAGCCACCCAGGCGCCCCTGTAGTATTTTTACCTTACAGAGCATATTTAGGTTTTCTTTGTGGCCTAACACATAGTGAACTTTTATTAACATCCCCAGTACCTCGAAAGATGTATTCTCTGTTATTGGGGGAACCATGTCGTACATATATGCACAGGCTCCACCTTAGGGATTAGCTGGGCTGGTCTTCCGTATCCTTATTTATTGTGGACTTGACCTACTTTGAAAACAAAGTGGTTAGTTGTTCTCTACTATTACTATGTTTTTATCTGTTTCTCCTTGCGTCTCTCGATTCCTGCATTGTCGTTTGATGCCTAGATATTCCTAGCCGCTGTACGTTCACCAGGGATTGTAGACTGTAGTCTTAGAGGCGCCCCTCACCTGTGGGAGCTGTGGACGCCTTCAGAGAGCAGGGGTGTTAGTGAGTCCTGATGGGGGGCAGAGACTGAGGACTGTCCAGCTGAAGGAGGAGCACCCGCTGGATTTGGACACAGGGGTGCGGCTGGACTGAGGCAGAAGGAGCCCCGGGGGTTGGTGTGTTTGTGAGGGTGATGAGGGAGGTAAGCTTGGGAGCCTGAGCAAACCCCGGGAAGGTGCCACTGCCCCTGGGGTCTGTCTTGGTTGAGTAGATGGTCAGCAGCTTCGCAGAGGGGGCTGGAGGCGACACAGCGTTCCCTTTGCGGATGCTTTATGAGGAGTGTGGATCTCTGAGGAGGCTACTGGGGAGCCGGTCATCTGAGCTGGATGGGAGTGAAGGGGCCCAAGCCTGCGGGGGGTGGGGGGCCTGGGAGGCTCCCGCATGAGAGCCCTGAGGCTGGGTCCAGACCAGGATGGCCCCCCCACAGCCCCACAGGCCTCCTCCAGACACTCAGCACACCATCGGCTCCTCCACAATGTGTCGTCCTGAGACCGTGAGCTCCATCAGGCTGGGACCCCTCATGCGTCGTCTTCTGTGTTATCCCCACGCGGTGCCTGGTGCGTGGTGGGGGCGTCCCGGTCATTATAGTGAATGTGAGCTGATGATTGTATTGAGAGGACCAGGCAGCTGATGGGCGGTAGTGGTGGGGGGTGCAGAGCCAGCCTCGCAAGGGTGTGGGGAGGAGGGTGGAGGGTCCGGTGGGGATGTTTGCGAGCAGGCAGAACCTGGGTGGAGAGTCCATGGGTCTGGGGGACACTGGGCTGGAGTGCGGAGCTCCCGGGGCTGGGTGTCCGCAGGTGTGGTTTGGGAAGTTGGCCCACAGAGTGCAGATCTGCCCCCCCTCCTCTGTGAGGCAGAGGCCTGGCCGCTGTGGGAGCCGGTGCCCGAGCTGTTCCTTCCCCGCGGCGCAGGCGTGCCCGGCCGGTGGGGCTGGGCCACCAGTGCCGTGAGCTGGGGCCGGGTGGTACCAGGTCTGTGTTCCAGCCTCCACCACGCCTCTGAGGAGCCAGCCTCAGGGCTCCCATCACTACGGGGTGTCCAGAGAGCACCAGGTGGCCCTGCTGGCCGGGGTGGCACTGGGTCAGGGATGGTGGGCGTCCTTGGCCTCCATTCGGCCTGTGACTTCATCTGGTCACTGGAGATGTGGTGCTAGGGACTGGCCTGCACGGTGTCACTGCCGGCCCTTCCTGAGCCTCTGTCCTGACCCCTCGCTGCTCCCCCACTCTGGGAGGCGCCCCGCGACCTCCCTCTCTGTGGCTGGTGCCAGGCCATTGGCAGCTGGTCCTCGGACCCAGGAGAGGCCCTCCACCCCCAGCTCCTCCCAGCCTCCAGTGCTCTGTCCCGCCCCAACCTGCTCCCCTCCTTCCCCGGGGAGCACTGTCTGGTCCTGAGAGACGGGACGTTACTGTGTGGGCCCCCCGGGGGGTGGGGTGAGGATCCCAGCCAGGCCTGGAACCTGGTCCCCCTGCTGAGTGAATGTGCGGCCCTTCCTCCCCAGAGTTAGTATTGGACTCACCGGGGGCCCCGCAAGTGCGTGGCGCTATTGGCAGAGAGGGGAGAAAGGTCTGAGCGTGTCCCCAGCACTGCCGCTCCCTGCACTGCAGCTCCGGGTTTCCGTCCACTTAGAATGGATGGTGATGTCGCTTCAAGAGGCTGAAGGCAGGGCCACCGTCTGCTCCCGTCTCCTGGCAATAAGCCTGAGGCCGGGAGCAGCTCCTTGGAGGCCCAATCTGGGGCGGGGCCGGGGGGGTGCTGGGCCCCACGAGCGGCCTGTGCTCAGCTGGACCGCAGCTCAAGCTCCCGTGGGGGTGCTGGCCTCGCTTCGACAGCAGACTGCGATTCTCCTTAAATGCTGCCCACAGACTAATGGCCCCCCCGGGGAACCCCCACCAGGACGTCTGTCCCCGTCAGGATAGACTGTTCCACAAGGATTCGGTGGAAACCCTAAATCCTAATTTGGGAGGGGTTCATTGTGTGTATTGGAAAGAAATGGAGACTTCTGGACACGGCTCTCCATTTTGTAAATTTGGGTATTTTATGACATTTTTGACTAATGTGTTTATTAAACCGTAGTTAGGACGGAAGCAGAAATTAGTGATCATGACCAGAGCAGAGATCTCCTCGAAGTGTGAAGATGATAAATGACTCTAATTACTTGTGGACTCACTTGGGGCCCCTTTGAACAGGCTCCCCTGGCTTCCAGCTCAAGTTCCTGGTGGGGCCTGGACTCCTGAGGCCCGGAGAGCAGCGCTGGTTCACCCGCTACCTGGCCGCACAGCCCCTCCAGGTGGACGTCTGGGACGGAGACTCGCTGCTGCTCGTCGGATCCGCCGCCGTCCACATGAAGGTGGCCGCCCTCTGCAGGCTGAGCCCGGCCGGGGTGGGGGGACCCTCGTGGGAGGCTCCGTGGGGCCGGTGGCCATCGTCCAGAGCAAAGCAATTTCTTTGTTCACAAATCCTGTCCCTCCCAAAGGAGGAGGTTTTCATGGAGTCTCAGCTGCGCGACACCAGGTCCTGTTTTCTCAGCCATCAGTCCGCTCAGGCCACCTCCTGTCACCGCCTGCCCCCTCGACCTGAGGATGCACCTTCCCCGAGGGCCCCCATCAGCCCGGAGGGAGGGGAGGGGGGTGACGTGTGCGAAGGTCACCTGGTGCCTGCTCTCACTTACTCCACTTGTGCTTTTGGAACTGGAATTAGAATTAGAATCTAGTTCTTTCTCTGCGTGCTCCCCCCGCTCCTGTACTAACACCTAAGCCCGTGGGTTAGTTTGCGACTCCTCCCCCGGGTTCCTCCCAGATGCTCACTCAGCGTAGTTGCACCGCGCTCCCGGGCCAGGGACGGGGGCACGACCTCGCGGTGGTGGCGCGGAGGCGCGGGAGGACAGGGCTGTGCCCAGGCGGCCCCTCCGTCTCTCAGAGTCACGCACTGGCTGACCTCCCAGATTCAGCCTCCGGCGCCCTCGGTTTCCCCGCTGAGCCCTGCCCCCGCAGCAGCCCCCTCGCCCCCTGCTCCTGGGTAGCCCTCACAGGGAGAGCTCGCCGTGTCTCCTGACGCCGCGCCCCCCTCCTCCCTCTGAGGGCTGGCCCGGCTGTGTCCCCCTCCACCCGCCTCAGTGCCCATCCCTGTCCCTGGGGGAGCAAGAGGGGCAAGGGCGGCCCATGGTGAGCCCTCCCGGTGTCAGTCAGCTCACGTCCCCGTCCTCACTCTGGTCCCTGGAGCCTTCCTGCGTCATTGTCCGGTGCAGCCCCGCGGGATCATCACAGCCTTTGTCTGTCTGACTCCCGCGCTGGCTGGTGGTGTCCTGGAGGGTAGGGATGGGCCACTCACTCTCCGTCTCCAGCACAGTCATGGCCCACAGTGGGCATGGCGCTGCCTGGCTGAGGATGTGCCAACGGAGGGAGCAGTGAGGGAAGGGGAGAGGAGGGGGAGGGCGCGGGGGGAGGAGGGGGTAGAGGATACACGAATGAGGGAAGGGAGGAGGGATGAGTTGGGCGAGGAGGGAGGAAGAATGAGGAAGGGAGGAGGGAGTGGGAGGAGGGAGTGAGGGAGGAGGGGTGAGGAAATGGATAGAAAGATGAGGGATGAGGGAGTGGAGAGAGGGTGGGGCAGGGGATAGAGGGATGAGGGAAGGGAGGAGGGGTGAATTCAGGGGAGGAGGGAGCGAAGGAAATGGGGAAGGAGGGAGGAGGGGGGAGGAGGGAGTGGATGAATGGGGGAGGGGTGCCCGTGGCAGTACTGAGGCACTGGAGGGGCAGAGAGGAGCCCCTGTGGATTTGGATTCTGAGAGGCTGAGCTAGTTAGGACCCGGGCCCGATGGGGGGGGGGGGTCCCCTGGTGGGCGTGGCTGCCCTCACTGCTGGTGTCGGCGGTGGGGGGCACCCTCCCTGCCAGCTCAGTAGTCGTCAGGCATGCTGTGCCCTGTCTCCAGCTCATTTCCTGAGGACAGACCATGTAGGGTGACGGGGACAGTGGCTCCTGGGCTTCACTCACTGTGTCCCCAGCTGGGCCCCAAGCTCACGCCCCGCCCCGGCGTCCTCAGGTCTGCTGAGAAACTGAGGCCCCAGGTCATGCAGACAATAGCAGCCCCAGGCTTTTAGCGCAGTTCTGACTTGGAACTTGGAACTTGGGCTCCTTGCCCTTACGCTCGGCTCTCCCGAGATGAGAACTTACAGAAGCGTGTTTCCGTGTCAGGGGTGAGCATGTGCAAAAGCCTGGGCCCACAGAGCCCGCCGGGGAGCCCGGTGGGGCCGCTCCTCCTGGGCGAGGACCAGGGCGCCTGCTGGGTCCCATCCACCCGCCTTTAAGGGTGTTGGCTTAAACACCGTCTTTCTGATCTCTCCTCTGCTTCCCGGTGCTCTGGGCCTTGCTTCCTGCATCGATGGGCCGTTCTCCAGGGGGCCCCAGCTGTGAGCGCGTGTGTGGTTATGTGGGCTCTGTGGACCTGCACTGCTAGGCAGGTGGGGTCTGAAGCAATTAGAAGCTTCAGACCCACTAAGGAGGGGTGACTTCGGGCACCTCCACTCCCAGAGCCAGGGATGCCTGGTGCTGCAGAAGCACAAGAATTCCAGACGCCGGGACCTGCGTCGGGTCCCATGCACCTGTTTGTGTGTGAGAAGTGCTAGCGGACAGGGAGGTGACTTCACCACGGCCTCCCAGGAGGGGGCTCCCCCTGGGCCTGGTGGCGGCTGTGGTCCCCTCCTCCCCCCGAGAGCCTCAGTGGTGCCGGAACTCAGGCAGAGCACTGATGGGTGAGCTGCAGCGGCAGAGGGTCCAGGTCAGGAAGGCCCTGGTGCCGGCTCTCACCAGCCTGGGCCCTGTGTGGACCTGGCCATGTTCCGTCGCTCATGTCCATCGTTCTCTGCAAGGAAGGGGGCTCCGGGAGGCAGCTGCCGGGCCTGTTGGTGAATCCGTGGCATTTACTTAGTGAGTGAATTAGGTGCACTTTATTAAAGAATTTGTGGGAACGACCCAATAGGACTTGGGTTTTTGGAAGCTGAGCTCTGCCTTGGCCACCCCCTGACCGCCCGCTTTCTCTGCAGCATCTCCTTCGCCAGGGGCGGCCGGCCGTGCAGGTCACGCACGAGCTCGAGGTTGTGGCAACTGAATATGAACAGGATGTGGTGGTGAGTGGAGACGTGACCAGGTTTGGCAGCATCAAGCCCATTGGCGTCTACACGGTGGTGAAGGGCTGGCTGCACCTGACCCTGGCCAACATAGGTAAGAGTCCCCGGTAGCTTTGCCTGTCCTGGTGCTGTCTCCTGGGTGGACACTCATCTTCCCAGCTGGTGCATGAGCTCCCTCGGGGCAGTGGCCGTATCGTGGGCATCGTGTAATCCGTAGGAATTCAGAAAAACTCTTACTGTTTGACCACTGAGTCTGTCCTCAGCCACTGGGCATTTGTCCTTGACTACTCATTGGGCATCTGTCCTTGACCATGAACATCTGTCCTTGACCACTGGGCATCTGTCCCTGACCACTGAGTACCTGTCTCTGACCACTGGGCGTCTGTCCCTGACCACTGGGCGTCTGTTCCTGACCACTGGGGGTCTGTCCCTCAACACTGGGCATCTGTCCTTGACCATGAGCATCTGTCCTTGACCACTGGGCATCTGTCCCTGACCACTGGGTACCTGTCCCTGACCACTGGGCGTCTGTCCCTGACCACTGGGCATCTGTCCCTCACCACTGGGCGTCTGTCCTTGACCATGAGCATCTGTCCTTGACCACTGGACATATGTCCCTGACCACTGAGCATCTGTCCCTGACCACTGGGCGTCTGTCCTTAACCACTGGCCATCTGTTCTTGACCACTGGCATCTGTCCCTGACCACTGGGCATCTGTCCTGGCACCAGTTGTTTGGTGTTCTGATTTCTTTTTTTTTTAAACCTATGTTTTTTAAATGTTTATCTGTTTTTTTTTTTTATTTTTTTTTTAATTTTTTTTTTACAAATAGTTTATTGTCAAATTAGTTTCTACATAACACTCAGTGCTCATCCCCAAAGTGCCCTCCTCCATGCCCATCCCCCCCTCCCCCCACATCCATCAGTCCTCAGTTTTTGTCAGCATTCAAGAGTCTCTCATGGTTTGCCTCTCTCCCTTTCCCCCACCATTTCCGCCCTTCTTCTCCCCCTTGTTCCTCCGTCAAGTTCCTCCTAATCCTCCTATACGTGCAAACATATGATATTTGTTCTTCTCTGCCTGACTTATTTCGCTCAGCATAACACCCTCAAGGTCCATCCATGTTGCTACACATGGCCAGATTTCATTGTTTCTCATTGCCATGTAGTATTCCGTGGTATAGATAAACCACATCTTCTTGATCCATTCATCTGTTGATGGACACTTAGGCTCTTTCCATGTTTTAGCTATTGTGGAGAGTGCTGCTATGAACATTGGGGTACATGTGCCCCTATGCATCAGCATTTCTGTATCCCTTGGGTAAATTCCTAGCAGTGCTATTGCTGGGTCATAAGGGAGTTCTATTGTTAGTTTCCTGAGGAACCTCCACACTGTTTTCCAGAGGGGCTGTACCAGTTTACATTCCTACCAACAGTGTAGGAGGGTGCCCGTTTCTCCACATCCTCGCCAGCATCTAGAGTTCTCTGATTTGCTCATTTTAGCCACTCTGACTGGCGTGAGGTGGTATCTCAGTGTGGTTTTGATTTGTATTTCCCTGATGAGGGATGCTGAGCATCGTTTCATGTGTCTGTTGGCCATCTGAATGTCCTCTTTGGAGAAGTGTCTGTTCATGTCTTCTGCCCATTTCTTCACTGGGTTGTTTGTTTTTCGGGAGTGTAGTTTGGTGAGTTCCTTATAGATTCTGGATATTAACCCTTTATCTGATATGTCATTTGCAACTATCTTTTCCCATTCTGTTGGTTGCCTATTAATTTTCTGGGTTGTTTCCTTGGCTGTGCAGAAGCTAATGTTTATCTGTTTTTAAGAGAGAGAGAGGGAGTGTGCGTGAGCACATGAGTGAGCGGGGGAGAGTCAGAGAGAGGGGGACAGAGGATCCAAAGTGGGCTCTGCGCTGACAGCAGAGAATCTGATGCGGGGCTCAAGCTCCTCAACCGTGAGATCATCACCTAAGCACCCCAGGTGCCCCTGGTGTTCCTGATTGCTGAGCATCTCAGTCTTGCCCACATTTTGTTTCTTGGTGCTGTCTAAGGGTGTCTCTGTCACAGAGATGAAATGCCTGCATCTCGGAGAGATCTTCGTCTAGAGCGTCAGCCCATAGAATCACCTCATCACAGGAGAGGAAAGAGAAGTGTCCCTCAGCTTCTGTGCAGCTTGGGGATAAGGGAACAGAGAAACACACTTCTCTAGAGCCTAGCGCCCTGAAGCGCCCTTCCATCTGATGGTGCCCCGGGGCTGCTCCCCAGAGACCCTGAGCACAGCCTGATGCTCCTCCGTCCTCATGCAAGCAGCAGGGCGTTGGGCAGGCAGAGGGCCAGAGTGAGCCCCGTGGGGCCAGCGGGCAGGCCCACTCAGTCTCCCTTGTGGGGACTGTGGAGGGATTGGGGTTTTTTGGGGTGAAATAGAAAGCAGGATGGGACGCCTGGGTGGCTTAGTCAGTTAAGCGTCCGACTTTCGCTTAGGTCATGATCTTGCGGTTCGTGGGTTCGCGCCCCGCATCGGGCTCTGTGCTGACTGCCAGCTCAGAGCCTGGAGCCTGTTTCAGTCTGTGACTCCCTCTCTCTCTGACCCTCCCCTGCTCACGCTGTCTCCCTCTCTCTCCTAGAAATAAATAAAAAAAATATTAAAAAAAAAAAAAGCAGGATGAAAGCAAGCTGTTTGAGGTTTCTGGAGCCATGTCTGTCTAGATGTGACTCCAACCTCTCCCGTTTTATTGGGGAATTTTCCATTCCTCAAAGCCCAGCCTGACTTTAAAGCCTGGAGCCCCATGGGCCCCATCGGGCCGTGCGGGCGGCGGGGAGGCGGGCGGGCTGGGCCGCCGCCGCAGGTGGGGCGTGCAGCTCATTAAGTCAGGTTGGAGGTTTCTGCCTGCTTGTTTACAGATGTAGGATCCGAGGCAGCCCTGAAAACAGACAATATGGAAACAGCAAAACTCAATTAGGTTCTGGAGAAATAAATGAGCCGCATGCGAGAAGCAGACATCATTCAGAAGCTCACACGAGCGAGGGAGCTGTGAGGGGCACTCTGTGTCTGAGATTGCGCTGGTTATTTTTATATTTATTCACCAGCCCGCAAATGTGCAGTGACTCCGGGTTTTAAATCTTATCTTCAGAAGAAAGATTAGCTCCATTATATGTTATCTTAAATTGTCATTTCCATGCTTCGCCTGCGAGAGAGCGATAGCGCGTGGGGGGGGGGGGTGGGGGGAGACGCTGGCCAGAGGCTGGGGCCAGGACGCCGAGGGGTTAACAAAGGACAGACGCTGCGCAGCACGCTTGTGTCCACGCGGCCGCGCTGTGGTTTCCTCTGTAGATTTTGCATTTTTCAGGAAAAAAAGGTATTGTAGCTTTTATTTGTTTATAAAACTGATGGTTATGCAGCGAGCAGCAGGCACAAGCCGGCAGATTGGACGAGGAGCGGGGCCAGGGCTTGGCCTCTCCCGGACGGTGCTGTGGCTCCGCGTTCACAGTGCGTGGGGGGAAGCGCGAGGCCGCAGGACCAGGCGCCTGCCCTGCGCCCAGGCCTCCTGCAAGCCTTCCCGGGGCGGGGGGGTGCTCCTGCCGGCGGCCTCCCGGCTCAGACGGCTCCGTGACGGTCTCTACAGCCTCGCTGCTGTGTGCCTCGGTGCTTGTTTGTCACGTAGGGATCGCGACAGCCATGCTCTCCCCTCCCAGCCATCCCGCTTCTGCGGTGTGACTGTGGCTCATCGGGGAGCCCAGGCATCACTTGTATCCACAGCCCTTCCTGGGGGCCCCCCGGGGGAGTGAGGGGCTGTCCCGGTCCCCGGCCCCAGGGGCAGATGCCCGTGTTCTCAGGGCTGAAGGAGGCTGGGTGCTGTGCGCTTTGACAGAGAGCCTGGGCTTGGGGCCAGACAGCAGTGCCGTGCTCTGCTCCCGCCGTGGGACAAGCGATCGCTGCCCTGCCGCGTCAGGAGCCCTGCCCGCCTGGACGCCATTTCTGCTCTCATAGCAAACGTGTGGGTCCCCAGCTTAACCAAGGTCTCCCCGAAGGGAAGGAAAACCCGCAGCAATTTGAGAGCGCAGGCTGTGCTCTGAGGAAGTCTGCATCTTCTCCGCGCCGGGTCCTTGAGTAAGTGCGTGTATGTTCAGTGAATCGGGTTTATCGTCCTGTTTGCAAATGATCCAATGACATGAGTGCAAATACCGTCAGAGGAAAGGGGGAGCTCAAGGAGGACCCTTGTCTGCCTGGAGGCGACCACGTGGTCCTGCACGCTCTGGTGACCATAATCACCCCTCCTGAGAGGCGGGGCTCCAGGACGCTGCCCCCACCCTCCCACCCCCTCCCCGTGAGCTGTCTGCACCAGACCCTGAGCTGCATGTGTTTCCCTCCTGGTGGGCTGTTACCAGGAGGGGACTCGGCCAGCATGCATCTCGTGAGGTGCGGGTGAAGGCTGCCTGGCCTGGGCTGCAGGGAGGGTCTCCGAGGGCTCCCGGCTTCCCTCAGGCGTGGCGTGAACCCACGGCCAGGTGACTGATGGGTCCTTGGTGAGACCTGCTGGCCCCACGCCGCCCCTGCATCAGGAAGAAACTCTTCTGAGAGCCGGGAGCCCCGAGGGTCTCAGCTGTGGCAGGAATTGGGCACCTGTGGCTGGCTGGCACATGGCTCCCCTCTCATGGGGAAAGCAGGGCGGAGAGCATCAGACTTGGGGCTTGTGCTCGTGGGAGCAGGCCGCCATCCCCTTCCCACTTGGCCTGGCTGTGTGTCCCTGCTTATCAGCCCCCCTCGGGGCCCCGGGGATTCTTGGGGACGCTGCTGGTTCTTCCTTGTGGAGACGTTTGCCCAGCAGCGGCCACGGTGACCTGGCCCAGTGGTGAGAGATTCACGAACAAGTAGAGAGCAAGTGGGGGGGGCCTGTCTTGCCTCGAATTCTGTTCCTCTTGTACTTGAAGGGACAAAGCAGCCCTGAGGCATCAGCAGCCGATCCCAACAAAGGGGTGTTGACACCAGGTTCCGTTCTTGGGGACGAGCCTCACGACCCTGTGACACTGAGCTGTGTTGGGGCAAACAGACCCCAGGGCGATGAGAGGAGTCTAGCAGGAGACTCACCTCCGTGGCAGGAGATGGGCGTGGGGGCCGCTGCAGGTGGGTGGCTGGTGGAGCAGAGATGAATAGTTGGGGCTCCAGAAGCTCATTCTCAGGATGCAAGGCCAGCACAGGTGGGATTGTCACCTCAGTGGCCGGGCAAGTGAGGAACCCGCAGAGGAGGCAGTCTTCCATCTGGCATGTCACAGTGCCTCTGTGTGCACCCGGCAGGCAGCCCCTGGGCTCCGGGCCGGCTCCTCTGCCTGCTGTTGGCAGGTGGCGCCACCCGGCGCTTCCCCAGGCCTGAAGTGCAGTGCTGCGTCGGAGAAGGAGCTGTGGGGGACTGTGGATGTGCCACACTTGCCCCTGTGCGGTGGCCTCCCCGATGGGGCGTGGGGGACCGTGGACGTGCTGACCCCCTACCGGGGCTGCGTGTGGAGCTGTGAGCACCTTGGGCAGCAGGGCAGGTGACCAGGAGCAGCTCCTGTCACAGGAAGGTTGGGGGAGGGGCCAGCCTGGTTCGAGATGCTCAGAAAACACTCAAGACAACCAAGGAATTTGAAATGGGAAGGACGGAAGCCCCCAGAGGGGAGGACCCTGCTTACCGTTTATCGCTGGCCTCTAAACCATGCCGAGTGAGCCACTCCTTGCTTTGGCCAGAGGTGGTGATCTGTCATTTTTGAATCGAGCATTTCCCCAGATCGGAGCCTTTGTCCTCGCTGGTCTCCTGAGAGTGGGGTGCTGTCACGCTCCCGTCTTTGGGGTCCCCAGCTGCACCAGCAGGGCCCAGCCGCCATCCCTGGGGTCTGCAGGGGCGGCCGGGGGGCGGCCCCATTGGTGGCAGGCAGAGACCACGCGACCTTCCTTGAAGGACAGGCGTCTCCTTCCCAGCCTCAGCTCCGAACTGAGGGAGACCCTCGTATTAGGCAGCTGGACATGAAAACGTCACCTTTGTCACTGGGGCGGAGGACCTGTCACACCGTGGTGATGGGTGTGCGTGTGCGCCCAGCACTGGGCTCGCCCTCGGGAACGAGCCTCTGGCAGAAGACAGGCAGAGGAGGGCGGAATGGAGCAGGGAAGCCGCCCCGTCCTGTCCTCCCTGGGGCAGAGTGGAGGCGGGAAGGGGGTGCTGTTCCCTGAGAGATCGCCGGATGCCGGGAGCTTTTCATGTGGGAATCCGGTGCCCTCAGCTGTGCCCTGCCTCCCGGCGGTGGGAGTTGCATCTGGGCAGAGGACAGCGCGTCCTCCTTCTCGGGAGGAGCATTTCTGCAGGCAGGCACCCCTTGCCCCCGGGGCCAGTTAGCAGCCTGGGCGGCTGTGCCCTGTGCTCTGCCTCTGGGCTCACACCCCACCCCTCTGAAGCACATGCTTCTGTCTCAAGCTTCTTTATAGAAACAGCTACAGAAGATTCTAGCTTTTCGAGGCTCTTTTACCTTCAGGTGTGTTGTCAGATGTTTGCAGATGGGCACAGAGGCCTTCCTGGAGCAGGGTGGCATCGGGGTGTGTGAGCCGTCCCACGTCACGGGGCTGCCAAGATCAAGGCGTGAGTCTGGGCAGGCGCCCCGAGTACCTTTAGCTCGCTGTGGGGAAGCGGACTCTGCTGTCCACATATGCGGTGGCCAGCCTGCCCATCACCTCCCGACTCAGTGTGTGGTTTTGGGGTGTTAGCCGGCTGGGGAGGTGGACGGGCCCTTTGAAGACCAGAACTGCCTGCAGGGAGTATTGACATTCTCATCAGACTCCTTTTTAGCGTTAATACCTTCTGTTGGGCTGTTTCTAATTTAGGTCACGTGTGTGAGCAGAGAGTGAGGAGTTCCAGCACGTTGCCACCTTCCAGGTCACGGGTCATCTCGAACGACAGAGCTGGCCACTTCGAGGGAGGCAGCCTGCTCACGCGTGGGGGGCCAAGACGTGAGTTGGGAGTGGGTTGGGGTGGGTGGGTCCCTTGTGCGTGAGATTGGTGTGGGGGCTGGGGTGGGGTGCGTGCATGGAGCCTGGATGGGGCTTTGCTGCCCCTCTGGATCTGGGGGCAGAGCCGCAGCTGTCGCGTCCAGCTCAGGGCCTGCCTCAGTGGACCACAGGCCACCCCAGCTCGGCACGCTCGAGACCGGAGGCCGTCTGTGCCGTTTCATAGCAGATTCCAGTCCTGCAGGTAGCGTCTGGCTCTGGTTAGCTGCCCATCTGCAGGGGAAGAGGAAATGAAGAGAAGGTCAGGATGTACAGAGAGTGATTTTTAAGAAGCGATTTTGAAAATCCCACGTCAGGGAGAGGAGTAAACCAGTTTTGGAGCCTGGGGAGTAAAGGCCTGTGCTTGCTGGGAACGTTCACAGCAGGGAGTGTCCAGAGTTTTCCGTCCCCTTAAATGACCCGCAGACCTGGAAGCAAGGTGGGGCAAAAAGTGGGGTGCTCTCCGGGCAGTGTCCCCTGCGGTGCAGGCCACCTGGTGTGGATCCACAATTGCCCTGACCTTCCCATGTGGACGGTCCTCTGACGCTGTTGGCCTTGAGACTGTGGCCGAGATGAGGCGTCCATGCTATGGCTGGTGAGAGCCTTAAGGCCTCCAGGATCCCCACGAGCTTCCTGAAACTCCAACCAAGACTTTGTGGGGGCTCGTACGCTCTCCTGGGAGAGGGACCCTGGGGGTCCAGGTGCTCGAGGGGCCTGAGAGCTGTGATCCAGGCAGAATGAGAGATGTTCGGGCTCCCTCGTTGTAGTGTCCGAGTCAGAGGAGGGCGTGTGATGTGACCCCCAGTGTGGGTGAGGGAGGTGAGCTTGGGTGGGAATTAAGGGTTCCCACTTTGGGGCCAGTATTTCTCCATCCCAGGCTGGTCCGTGAACAGACTGGGGAGTGCTTGTGAAAGGCACGGGCTCGGGGCCCAGCGGGTCAGGGACTCTGCAGGGCAGCTCAGCTGGCCATGACCAGTGCAGGTTTGTTGAGTGAATTGAGTCAGGAGTCCCCCACCCAGTCCCTGTTTGATCAAAGCCAGAGGACGGGGCTTCACCAGGCAGCCTGTCCTCCCTCAACGGGCAAGGCTCGGGGAGCAGGACCGTGTGCAGACTTTGAGGGAGGCTCTCCAAGGTGCTGAAATCCCATTTCTGGTTTCTTCGGAACTGGGTGACGCTGCGTGTCACGTGAGCTCCCCAGCCTTGCTCGTCTCGTCCGGTCCGTCCCCTCGGGACTGCGGGCCTCAGGCTGCTCAAACCCCACCCAGGTGGGCTCGCCCCCCCACATGCCTGTACCCCAGACGGGAGAGACATTGTTCTGGGGTGGACATGTTACTAGACTAAACCAGTCATGGTATCTGAAAAGCAACTAAACAGCTTTAAAATAGATTGGAGGTGAAGCCCCCGGAAATCGTACTGGTTTATGCGTGACAGCGAGTGAGGGGAAGGTCACTTGGCCACTGTGAGGAGTGTGTCAGTAGGAGGCTGGAGACGCGGCAGCAGTGCAGGCCTGGACGGCCGATTCAGGAGGGTGCTCACTTCCTGTGGGCTCTGCTGGTCCTGGGAGTCAGGGAGGCCCCGTCCTCAGATGGGAGCTCCTCCTCATCTGCCCGCCTGCACCAGCTAAGTGGGGGTCTGGGAACCTCGTGTGTCAGCTTGTGACCTGGTGTGAGCCACGCGTGGCTTTGTCACCTGAGGAAGTGCGCCCCTCTGCCTGCTGGCGCCTGGCCTATTTTGGCTTCCATTTGCAAACACGGCTTTTGTGTATGTCCGAGGTTTGACCAGAGGCCCCCAACAGAGTCGGTGCCCCGGGGCCCGGCTGTCTAGGGGCGGCTGAGTGCAGAGTCAAGGGGACGAGCTCTGAAGCCAGGCCTGGTCTGAGCCCACCCACCCGAGTCGCCTGGGGGCTTCAGGCTAAGTGGGCAACTCCTTAGAGCCCCTGATTCCTGATGGGAGTGCACAGGTGGCTCTGAGGACCTGAGAGTGCAGAGTGGCTCCTGTCCTGGGTGAGAGTGTCGGTGGCCCTTGAGAACCCAGAGAGCCTCATCTTCTAGAACGCTGACCTTTTTCTCCTCTGGAAAATCATCTAATGGTGTATTAATTGGTCTGTAAAGATCACGATCAGTTCCTTTATTTGAAAGGCTGGTAAAGGGAGGGAGGGACATGTGGAGACCAGGTTATAAGGTTACCACCTTTATCCACATCTCCAAAGGTGCAGGGAGGGCTGGAGGTTTGGTGCGGGGTCTGCTTAAAGAATGTAAACTCAACATCTCAACTTCTTGCTCCCTCTTGAACCTTCCAGAAGTAAGAAATGTGGTCCAGGCGCAGAAGCTGGCTGACGTGGATTGTGAGCTGGCTGCCATGCTGTTCGCGCCCTCGCACCACAGGAGCACGGGTCCCCAGGGCACCGGCCACGAGGGGGACGCCGTCCGCAGGCGCAAGCTGGAGCGGATGAGGTCCGTGCGCCTCCAGGAGTCCCGAGGAGAGCCCTGCGGCCAGGGCGCCAGCTTGTTGGTGAGTGCTCGTCTGTTCCCGGGGTGGCCCTGTGCAGTCAGCCTATCCCATCTCCATTTTGAGGAGACACTTTCCTCTTTCATTGGCAACCTTTGCTTCTTTTATTTATTTATTTATTTATTTATTTATTTATTTATTTATTTATTTATTTTACAAATAGTTTATTGTCAAGTTGGTTTCCATATAACACCCAGTGCTCATCCCCACAAGTGCCCTCCTCCATGCCCATCACCCCCTCCCCCCCACACCCATCAGTCCTCCGTTTGTTCTCAGCATTCAAGAGTCTCTCATGGTTTGCCTCTCTCCCTTTTCCCCACCATTTCTCCCCCACGGTCCTCTGTTAAGTTCCTCCTAATCCTCCTATACGTGCAAACGTATGATATGTGTCCTTCTCTGTCTGACTTATTTCGTTCAGCATAACACCCTCAAGGTCCATCCATGTTGCTACACATGGTCAGATTTCATTCTTTCTCATTGCCATGTAGCATTCCATCGTATAGATAAACCACATCTTCTTGATCCATTCTTCCGGTGATGGACACGTAGGCTCTTTCCATGTGTTGGCTATTGTGGAGAGTGCTGCTATGAACATTGGGGGTACATGTGCCCCTAGGCATCAGCACTCCTGTATTTCTTGGGTCAGTTCCTAGCAGTGCTATTGCTGGGTCCTAGGGGAGTTAGTTCTATTGTTAATGTTTTGAGGAACCTCCACACTGTTTTCCAGAGAGGATGCACCCATTTACATTCCCACCAACAGTGTAGGACAGTGCCCGTTTCTCCACATCCTCGCCAGCATCTAGAGTTCTCTGATTCGTTCATTTTAGCCACTCTGGCGTGAGGTGGTATCTCAGCGTGGTTTTGATTTGTATTTCCCTGATGAGGAGGGATGCTGAGCATTGTTTCATGTGTCTATTGGCCATCTGGATGTCCTCTTTGGAGAAGTGTCTGTTCATATCTTCTGCCCATTTCTTCACTGGCTTGTTTGTTTTTCGGGTGTGGAGTTTGGTGAGTTCCTTATAGATTTTGGATATTAACCCTTTATCTGATACGTCATTTGCAACTATCTTTTCCCATTCTGTTGGCAACCTCTGCTTCTAACTCCCCACTCCACCTGGACGCCAGCCTCGAGGCCCTGGGGGGAGTTGGTCTCACGGGCAGATGTAGCCTCTTGGGAGCATGCGGGGCAGACCCCACCTCCCCTGGGGCCCCCCGTGGCAGGGCACAGAGGGGTCCGGAGTGCTGTGTAGCCCCCTTGTTCTCTGTCCTCTGGAGCTGGAGCGGGCCAGTCCTGTCCAACCCAGGTGGCTGAGGAAGGGGGGGGGTGATTCCAGAAAAATGTGATATTTGGGGTGGAGGGTGGGGAGGTGGCCAGATAGCCCTCAAGAGGGAGAGTGAGGCCAGGACTGGCCTGGCTGGGCACCCGTGTCTCCCCTGTGCAGGCCCAGCAGAGCATCCGTTCACAGCACGCCCGCGACCTGCGGGTCATCGCTGCTTATCGGGAGCGCACGAAGGCGGAGAGCATCACCAGTGCGCTGAGCCTGGCCATCACCACCAGGCACACCATCCACGTCACACTGGGCACCGCCGAGTTCTTCGAGTTTGCCCTTCAGAATCCCCACAACGCGCAGCACACGGTGACCATCGAGGTGGACAACCCCGAGCTGAGGTGCGGAGAGCGGCAGCCCCAACGGGGTCCTCTGTCCCCAGCGCCATCTCCAGCGGGCGGGCAGGGCACTGCCTGGAAGTGCGTTTCTGCCTCAGCGGCGCGTCCCCCCACCCTCTAGCATCGTCTCGGACAGTCGGGAGTGGCGCTACTTCAAAGACGCGGCCAAGCTACACACGCCGGTGGAGGAGGACATGTTCCGTCTGCGGGGCGGCCTCGCCCCACAGCTCTTCCTGCGCCCCCGGGAGACCGCCCACGTCCCCTTCAAATACCAGACCTTCTCTGTGGGGCAGGTGGGGAGGCCACCCTTTGGGCCGGCGGGCTGGGCAGGCTCGGGGGGGATCCCACGGGGCTGAGGGGCGGCAGGGCATTTCTGCATCTTCCTCTGTGCTGCCCAAAGGCTCATTAACCTTTGGGTGTCACCCCTTGCGCGTGCGCATCCCCGGCGGGCCTCGGGAAGGGCTGGACCGTCCCCTCTGAGTGCTCTCATCTCCGTGGACCCAGAACCACTCCTTCCCTCAGAAGAGCCAACGGGCTGAAACTTTCCAGCGTTTTGTGCTCCCTGGTTAATGCTGTTTGCCCGCGTCTTGTGTAGCGTGTGTGGTGCTGCAGGAAAGGCGGGCATGGGGGTCTTCAGTGGGAGGTGTGAGTGGTACGTGACGGGGAGGCTGCGGGGATGCGGCTCATCTGTTTTACTGACTTTTAAGGTCAGCTCTGTAGGACGGGGCTCCTCACTTCAAGGGAGGCGCACAGATCCCTGCAGGCTCTTTGGATGCAGCTTTGGGACAGGAGGTCGTAGGGACAGTGATGTCAGTCCTCAGGCTCCAGGCGCAGCAGGGCTGCCTGGTGGCTGGGCCTGCGCAGCTCATGGCAGCCCCTGCTTCCTCTTCGGGGCAGTGAGGCTGGTTCATGACAGCGGCCGCCCGGATGCTTATCATGAAAAGGAAACTGTGCACGGGGGCCGCAGGGTGACAGCTGTCCCTATAGTGCCTGTCAGCCTCCGACTCCAGTGCCGCGACCCACTGGTGCCTACGGGTTTCTCTCAGGCCCCTGCGGAGCTGAGGTCTGAGAAGGACACAGACCCCGGATCGCCCCAGAAGTGCGGAGCACCGCCCACCAAGCACGCCAAGGTAGGGGGCAGGCGATCTCGGGTCCCAGGCATCCCGAGGGTCTCGGCGCCAGAGCCAGGTGTCCTCCGAGCAGACCCGGTGAGGCGTTCCTGACTCCCATTGTTCCTCAGGCTGCTGGGTCCTGGCCTCGGCCCTTCCCTGCTCCTGCTGCCAGGGAGGCTGGTGGTGGAGCGGGACCCCAAAGGTGGACTTTCCATGTCCTGATGGGGCGGTGGCTGCTTCAGCCAACACTGGTGCAGCCCCGGGTGGCTGTCTGGCATGGAGGCCAAGCTGGCCACTTGGCACCTGGCAGCTCTCGGTTTTCTGTGCCACCCCACAGCCCTGGAAGTACAGCCATCCCAGCACGCGGCCGCCCCACACTGGGGGTCAGACGGGCCCCGTGACCCTCGTCCCCGTGTCCCCGCATCCCCTAGAGTGCATGCAGGAGCGGGTGCTACTTCTGGGGACCCTGTTGCCTCCAAGGGAGGTGTGTTTGCACACACAGCAGCTGCTCTAGAATGTTCTAGAATGTTCTTAGTGAGAGCTTGGGATGCTGCTGTTCTATTAGGAGTTTCTGAAGCTTTTCTCCGGGAGACAAATGCCTGTTTGAAGTAGTTTTTTTTTTTTTTTTTTGTTATTGTTGTTGTTTAATTTTTTTAGTGTTTTTTAAATTTATTTCTGAGAGAGAGAGAGAGAATGATCAGGGGAGGGTCAGAGAGACAGAGGGAGACACAGAATCCACAACAGGCTTCAGGCTCTGAGCTAGCTGTCAGCACAGAGCCCGACGCGGGGCTTGAACCCACGAACCGCGAGATCATGACCTGAGCCAAAGTCAGACGCTCAACCGACTGAGCCACGCAGGCGCCCCTGAAGTAGTTTGAAAGTAAAAACAAAAGCAACAAGATTTTGCCCCGTCGCTGCCCAGGATGAGATTTCAGTGAGTCCCAGATGAGAGGCCAGCTCCCCAGTGCAGGCCTGTGTCCCCAGCTCACCGTGGCAGCTGGTGCCCGCGGCTCGTCCCAGGGCGGACGGCTTTGTCTTCCTTTACTGCGGAGGCGCCGCTTTGCCTCGTTTAAGGAACTTCGGGCTGCCGGTGAAACCTGAGAGCTAATGCTGTTTCCTTACGTGAACTTGGAGTTTGAAGGCGAACCCCACGGATCTGAGGAGCTTACCACGACTGCCTCGGGGCGTGTCCCTGACGCACGGGGACAGTGTGTCCCTGCGGTGCTGCCGCTGTCTGCTCTGTGCTCGCCTGGCTCTGGGCAGTGTGAGGCTGGGCACTGACCCCTCCGCCTCGTCACTGCTGCCCACCTCAGATTCATTGCCCACACTCACTTTCAGGGTGGAAAATGGGGAAATTCCACTTTTTTCCTCTCTGTGCTTGTTTGCTGTGATTCTGCCAGAAATAAGTATTTCCCACCAGCAGTGTGGGTGCCCTGAAATGTCTTTTGTTTTTTTAATTTTTAAAAAAATGTTTATTTATTTTTGAGAGAGACAGATAGGGTGTGAGGGAGGGAGGAGCAGAGAGAGAGGGAGACACAGAATCTGAAGCGGGCTCCAGGCTCCACGCTGTCAGCACAGAGCCCAATGTGGGGCTCAAACTCGTGAACCGCGAGATCACAACCGGAGCCCAAGTCGGACGCTTAACCGACTGAGCCCCCCAGGCGTCCCTGCTCTGAAATATATTTCACACCAGAAAGTCAGGGTACATGCTGGACTCTCTCATTTTATTTATCACTTTTCAAAATCATGAGTTGTGCCCTAGCAGCCTCCAGAGGCGGTCCGGTTTCGGAGGCTCGTTGTGAACACAGGTTTATACTCGCTGCTTCTCGGCTGTGGCCGGCCTTGAACTCCCCTCCCTCTGGCACTGCCCTCCCTTTCAAAGTACTGTGAACTAGGCTGGCTCCTGATGTTACCAGGTCACTGCGTGGGTGAACTCGAAGCCTTCAAGAAGGTAGAAACGGCAGAAAGTGGCTACCTGTCCCTGCCTTGTGCTAGGGAACAGAGGGAAGAAACTGGAAATTCTAAGACTCGAGGCTCAGCGTGGGCGGGGAGCCCGAGACTCATCTCGAGGAGGGCGCCATCCCGCCGTTCAGGGTCAGTAGTGTGGAAAATCACACTCTGGACCGAAGCCCCGCTGTGGGGGAGCTGCCGCTGGTGGACAAGGGCAGGTCGCTGTGTGAGGCTGTCCGGAAGGTTCCCTTCTCCCCAGCCTGGCTGTCCCCTGTGCTTCCAGGAGCAGAAATGTGGTCTGGGGAGGCCCAGCTGTGAGGGGGCAGAGCCTGGGCTTGGGGGGCACAGCCTCAAGAGCAGGGTCAGAGACTGGTCTGGGGGGCGCAGCCACAAGAACAGGGTGGGGGGGCAGAGCCTGGTCTGTAGCGGGCACGGCAGCCAGATACACACGTGGTGCTGTTCAGCCTGAAGCCTCAGTGTCGGGTGCAGGTCTGACCAGAGGGTCCGGGCACAGATGATGACCCGTGGACACGCCTGCAGGAGCTGCTCTCCCAGCCGGGTGAGCACGCGTGAGACGGGGAAGGAGACCTTTCAGGTGAAGCTCCAAATAGGCACCACCATGCACAGCTTTGTGGGAAAACAGCAAAGAAATGCCAGGACGGTGCCTGAGGAGTCCAGAGGGCGGCTTCTGCGGGCAGGGCTGGAGGGGTGCCCACTCCACAGTGTGGACGGGTTCTCTGTGCATGAGGGAAGGTGGCCCCGGGTGTCAGGCTGCGGCCCGGCCTCGCTCAGGGGCCTGAGAGCTCAGGGAATAGAGACACTTGTCAGGCGTCCACAGCAGCGCCTCTTTTGGGTAGAGAGCTTTCCTAACTTTTTTTTTTAAGTGGAAGTTTATAATTCCAGCCTTTCTGGTTAAGGTACATCCTCCTTTTACCGTCTGGAATCACATGGCCGCCCGTTAGCGCCAGACCCCAGACCGCCTGCCCGGCGCACGCCTGGTGGAGGGGACGTGGCTGCAGACCTCTGTCACTGGCAGTTGCTGGGTGTGGCTTGCTGGTGCGAGTCCTGACGCGGACTCCGTCTGCTGTCGGCAGGTCCTGTTCCGGGGCGGCGGCGGCAAGCCCCTCGCGGTGCTCTGCCTGACCGTGGAGACGCAGCCCCACGTGGTGGACCAGGTCTTCCGCTTCTACCACCCGGAGCTCACCTTCCTGAAGAAGGCCATCCGCCTGCCGCCCTGGCCCGCGCTTGCAGGCAGGTCCCATGTGTCCCCACGGCTTGCGGCGTTTGTTGGGTTCCACACACGGGCAGAGGCTTTTCCCCGAGGGTGACGGGTGGCATCATTGTGTTGTCCTGCGATGCTCAGGCTCCAGCCTGTGACCCACCCGTAAATTCCGCCACCTGCCTTTGTTTTGAAATGGCCACCTTGTCGCGTGCTCCGAGATGTCCAGGTGTGTTCTGGGCTGGCTGACCCTCGGCCCCGAGGGCTGTGTGGGGAGCAGCCTTGTGCCTCCCGCTGCCGAGTCACCCGTGTGGTTCTGGCCCGGTGCCTCCTGTGCCTGGCGCCGTAGTCCCCTCCTCCACCCCCGTCCCCCATGTACTTCGGTCCCTCCCTTTGGATAAGGCCCCAGGTGCCAGTGCCCCAGCAGGCGGGACCGGGGTAGGGCGTCACATGTGTTGAGCACCTATGACGGGCCAGGCTGTTCAGAAAAGACGTTTGTTTTGATAATCCACACCAGGCGCTCCCGTGGGAGGACTAGGCGAGGAACCCCAGGTCCATGTCCGATGTAGCGACCCGAACGTCATTTGTGAGACCCAGAATGTGGTAAGTCCCGCTTAGCCCGTCTCCCAGCCAGCCGCCTGTCATCCAGGCCCCTGACCTCCTGCGGCCTCTTCATTGTGAGGTTTCCGTGAAGTGGTGTCTTTCGAAGATGCTCGAGGGCTATTTGGACATCCTTGCGGGAGCTTTATGTGTGAATTTTCATCTCTTCTGCAAGTAGATCAGTTCTTTGATTATCTGAATTTAAATGAAAGGAAAAAGGCGTGAAGTAGAGTGAATAGAGTGAGTGGTAATTAAGCCACTTATTAATTGCCATTGTGTAAAGAATAATGGCAATAATTATATTATGACTGGTTAGGAAACTGGATAAAATCTCCTGCAGAATATGATTATTGAACTCAATATGGAATCAGGAAGTTAACGATTTTCTTTTTTTGCAGTAAAAAAGATGGCAAATTCTGACTAATACTGAAAATTAAACACCTGTCGGGGGGAAGGGAGCCTGGCTCATGGCTGCTTTCACTCCGTGCGGGCTCAGGGGGCTGGACTCGGGGCGGGCAGGTGGGCGGTGTTCCCACGGTGGCCCCGCGTCCAGCAGGGCCCTGGGGAGCCGCGGGACGTGTTCCTGAAGGTGGCCAGCGGTCGAAGTCCGGAGACCAAAGACTTCTTTGTCCTCGTTTACATGTAAGTCCGAGAACCGGGACCCCGGAGGCCTGGAGGGGCAGGCGCGGGTGAGAAATGGCTTTGGCATTGGAAGGGGCGGCCTAGGCCTCCCTGAGCTCCTGACGGGGTCGTTGTCAGGCGTTTGGCCACGGGACGTGAGACCTCAGGCTGGCAGGCGCCTCGCAAAGGGCGCCCTCTGCTCAGAGAGGTGCCGGTGGCCTGGGGGACGCACAGAGCCCACCAAAGAGAGACCCGGGGCGGCGTCTGCCCCGGAATGGTGCCCGGTTCCAACCAGGGGAGATGGGAGGTGGCGGCCATTGTCCTTCGATGCCTGAGACGGTGATGACATCACCTTCTTGTTTCTCCCACTCCGTTGAAATGACCCTTTTCCTTTTTCCTCAGAACTCTCCTGTCCCAGCCCCTTGAGAACCCTTTAAAACGGGACAGGCTGGGGGCTTCCAAACAGCACGCACGGCGCTCCGACAAGGCTAACTGCGCTCGGGGCCCGTCTCGGGCTGTATGGACGAGGGGGCCGCTGCTGAGCCCACGTGCAGGAAAGGGTCGGTGCCCTGGGGCACCAGGCAGCTAGGATGGCCGCGAGCGCAGGCCGGCGTGGCCTCCCAGCCCCCGCACACTTCTGTGTCGTGCCCCCCGTGTGCCTCCCGCTGGTCTCTGGCAGAGGCTGTGTCGTCACTCACGCAGGGTGTTGTGGTGGAGAGGCCACGTGGTGCGAGCCACCCGCCTTGGGCTGGAACGTGCCCGCGGCTGGGCTCTCCCCTGTGTCCTCGGCCCCCGTTCTCCCGGCCACCGCCCGGCCTCCTCCTGGCTTCCGTCCCCACCGGCGCTGATCCTGGCTTCCGTCCCGCGCAGGGACCGCTGGCTGGCCACCCCTGTCCAGATTTGGCAGGTCTACCTCCACTCCCTACAGCGCGTGGACGTCTCCTGCGTCACAGGCCAGCGGACCCGCCTGTCCCTCGTCCTTCGGGGGACGCAGGCGGTTAGGAGAGTGCGAGCTTTCCCCTCGCACCCCCAGGAGCTGACAGTAGGTCGCTGGGTGTTATCCTGCCTCCTCATCCTCACCCCACCCTGGGAGCGGACGGACGGCGTGGGGACCGGCTGCAGCCAGCTGGGTCCCGAGGACACAGGCTCGGGGCTCGGCCGTCTTCGTCCAGATGGTTAAACACGCCATCCTGGATGAGTGACTTAGAAGCCCCGAAGGCCAATATTGAGGGTTATCGGAGGGCAAATGTTAAAAGTAACTCTGGGGTTAATTTAGCCACAGCTGTGCATCTGGGTAATGCAGGCGGTGCAGACCCCCTGCCGCTCGCCAGGGCGGAGAGAGGAGCTCGTGGGGGTCTCCCTGATGGGGCGGCCCTGGCGCTCAGGGGCTGTCACACCTGGGCGCCCTGGCCCTTGGAGGTGGCAATGCGGACCGTGAGGCGCTGTGACGCTGGCGGCGAGGCTGCTCGGGCTTCAGATGTGGCGTCCCCGGGCCCCTGCTGACCTCGTGCAGGGCACACGGGCCCCCACCCTGGAACGGCCTGGGCTCCCTTGGGACTCCCTTTGTCCCCTGGGCCGTGGGCGTCCAGGAAGCCGTGGTCCGCAAGGCGTGAGGGCCGTGTCCTGACCCGCTTCTCTTCTGCCCTTGAAGACTGAGCCCAGAGGTGTGTTCGTGCTGCCCCCTCACGGGGTGCTGGACCTGGACGTGGGCGTGAGGCCCCGGCGGCCGGGGGGCCGGTTCATCCACCTCAACCTGGTCGACGTGGACTGCCACCAGCTGGTGGCCTCGTGGCTCGTGTGCCTCTCGTGCCGCCCGCCTCTCATTTCCAAGGTCAGGCGGGTGGGGGGCAGTGTGGTGGCCGCGGGGCACGGGTGGTGTGTCACCTGACTGTCACCTGCTCCTGCGGCCCTGCTCGGGCGGGAGTCGCCTTCTCCGTGGCCCGTGGCCTGGGGGTGGTGGTGGGGCTGCCCCTGGAGTGGGCGTCTGTCGTATTCCTGGACGTGGCCCGTGTTGGGCTGCACCAGCTGAGCGGGTCGGGCAGGGTGACCGTCCTCGCCCTCACAGGCCTTCGAGATCACACTGGCCGCGGGCGAAGGCAAGGGGGCCAACAAGCGGGTCACCTACACCAACCCGTACCCCTCCCCACGGACCTACCGCCTGCTCAGCGACCACCCCGACCTGCTGCAGTTCAGGGAGGACTCCTTCCAGGTGCGCGGCACCGCGGGGGGGGTGCGGGGGGCTGTGGGCTCTGCGGTGTGGGGGTGCGCGCCCCATCTAGGAGCAGTTCCGTCTCATGACGGTGGTCCTGAGAGTCCGGGAGGGAGTAGAGCCGTTCGGAATTGGGGGGGTGGGGTGGGCACCCCTCATCCAGCTCTTCTGCCTGCGCCTCTGGGGCCCCCACGTCTGGGCCCCGTTGTAGGGGTTCTGGTGGCCAGCCTGCCCTCAGTTACCAGCCCCTTCACCCGTAAGCGCCCTGCAAGTTAGCCTTTTCTCTGTTGTATTTTAAGGCAGGTGCAGGGATGCGGCCTGTCAGGGGAGGGGGTTTCCTCAGTTGGGAAGCATCCCCTGGGACGTGGGAGGAGCAGCTGTGGCCGGGAACACCGGGAAATAGTTCAGAACATCTAGAACATCTGGAGCCTGGAGGCCCCGCATGCGCCCTGTACCCGGGGCTGGAGCCTCAGCTTAAGAGCCCCTGTCAGCCTGGGTTTGCCTGCGTCGAACTTGCCGGAACAGAGAGAGAGGCTGGGGTGGGGCTAGGATTTGATGCTCGCCTGCGTCTAGGTTGGGGGAGGAGAGACCTACACCATTGGCCTGCGGTTTGCGCCTCGCCGGAGCCCCGGGGAGGAGGAGATTCTGATTTACATCAACGACCACGAAGACAAGAACGAAGAAGCGTTCTGCGTGAAGGTCACCTACCAGTGAGGTGGCGGCTGCGGACGCCGGCACGGCCCTCCTGCCGCAGCACAGGGGCAGGCTCGCGTTCACCCTCCTCCCCCCGTGCCCGCCGGGGCCACTGGTGAGTGTGCCCGAGGGTGGCAGGGGCGCCACGCTCCCGACGGGCTCTCGTGCCAGCGCCAGCCCCACCAGCGTCCTCAGCGAGGGCACGGCGCCCAGAAGCGCGAGGCTCGTGTCTCTGCCACGCCCAGGAGACCGTCAGTGCTCATGACGTTGGTTTGCTTTTTAGCAAAATGTATTTTATGAATCATCTGAAATGATAAAATTATGTTTTCTTACTGGATTTTGTACAAACGTGATTTGCTATGCAGTGTTTTATATTGGTGTTATTACATATCTTTTTTTAAGTTATGGTGAAATACTAAACCTTCCCCGGTTTTCTCTACTGATGGTTTTCTCGAGTGCTTTCTGGTGTTTTCACCACTGTCAGAGGCTCTGGCCATCATCAGGCATAAGCCTGGATTTGCCTCGAGGTCAACATGGCTGAGGGACAGGGGGGTGGCCTGGGGCCTCTGGCCTCCTGGGGAGGCAGTGTGGACCTGGCCGGGGTGGGGGTGCAACCCACCCCGACCTCCCCTTACAAGGACCGCTGTGATTACATCGGGCCCCCCTGGGACATCCAGGCTAGCCGCTCCACCCCAAGATCCTTCCTCACTCCCGCCCCAAATGTCCCCTTTTGTGTCTCGCATCATAGCTTCTAGGGATTAGGATGGGGACACCCTGGGCCTTTTTTCTGTCCACCAGAGTCCCCTCGGCCAGAACCGAGTCACGTAGCCGCACCCAGCTCCACGGGGCCTGGGAACTGCTCTTCTGTCGGTGTCATGTGTCTTGATAGCGGGGGGCCTTACTACTGAGCATGTGGGGGTGGGTTTTGGGGGACAAGTGTGGCCTTTGCCACAGTTGCTGCTGGAGAAGCTGAGAACTGGCCGGGCCGGGAGCACACTGGGGACAGAGAACGGAGCACAACTGAGGGGCAGAGCATCATTTTATGGCAAAAGCTTTGCTTTCAGTTCATTGCAAACACGGTAAGAAGGAAGCAGGGGATCCCGAGCCCTGGCAGGCGGAGAGCTGGGCTCTTCCTACCTTGGGGTGGTGAGAAGGCAGCAGAGCGGTGGCCAGGCGTCCACATGTGCAGACGAGTAGCCGAGACCAGCAGAGAGGAAGCCTGTGGGGGCGGGGCTCGGGGGCATCCTGCACTGGGGGCGGGGGGTGGTGTCCCCACAGTTAGGGGAGCAGGACCCAGGGCACGGAGGTGCTCACAAATGACTGCACAGACGCTACGGTGAGGGGAGGGGAGGGGGGGAGGAGCGGGACAGCAGAGGGGGAGGGGAGGGGGGACAGCAGAGGGGGAGGGGAGGTGGAGGGGGGACAGCAGGGGGGGAGGGGAGGGGAGGGGCGGGACAGCAGATGTCCTCGAGGACGCTGATTTAGAGCTGCCGCCCACGTCCTCTGCCGGGCAGGGACCCCACGCCCTGTCCCAGAGCCTGCACCTCAGCGTGGACGTCGGATTCTAGGGAAAGTCCACCAGATGTATTTATGGGTTGTTTTTTTGTTTTTTTTTTGTTTTTTTTTACCGTATGACGATGTACCAAAGTTCATCTTCGTCCCTATTGTTGTTTGCGTGCCCCATGCCGTGCTTTCCTAAGGGGGGCGTCTAAGTTTGCACTCGGGTCACAGAGCAGGAGCTCTCTTGTCTGCAGCCCATGCCAGTCCCGGCACATTGGCCCAGATCCAAGCACCCACCCCCCCCCCCCCGGGCCTGCCAGGGAGACCTCCAGGCTTTGTTACGTGTCACCTGCCGAGCCCATGTGGCGAAGCTGTGGTCGCAAGGTCTTGTCCCTCAGGGCCACCGCCGGGGCCGCCTTGCCGCTCTGGCCCGTCGAGGTGTGGGGGGCGGCGGTGGCCCGGCTCGGTCAGCCTCGCTTCAGCCGTCCTCTGTCCCTGCGAGGCTGCGCGGCTGTAGTTAGGATGGTGAGGCCCTTCGGGGGACAGGGCGGCAGGGAGCTGTGTTGCCAGAGCGCTCGGGCCGTGCCCTCCTAGATGACTTCGGGGTTTCCGTCATGATTACGAAGCCATTGTGTTCCGTTTCTCTCCATGCCTCTTGCTGGGGAGGGGGCTCGGGGCCACTTCCTCCTCCCCCGGCAGCTGCATGAGCTGCAGCATCAGCAGCTGCCCAGACCCGGGTCCGGGTCCGCGCTGGGGCTGGGTGACAGCGCACTGGGGCCGCGGGAGAATCAGGTGAGGGAGAGACGGGAGGAGTCGGGGGACCCCTTTCTCAGGGCCTGCTGGGCTGTGGGCAGGGGTCGGCGGGCCCCCGTGCTACAGAAGCAGGCCAGCCCTGCGTGTCTGTGGTCGCATGGCCACGCGGGGACAGCGAGGGCGGGAGGGGGGGTGTCCGAGGGCAGACGCACGGTGGGTGTGTCTTTGAGGGGGAAGGGTGGCCTCCCTGGGGGCAGCGGATGGGGGGTGACGGAAGCAGGCTGTCTTCTCAAGGGAGCAGAGAGGGAGGTGGCTCTCCTGTTCTGCCCCTGAGGGACCCGCACGCCGTTGAAGTGTGGGTGCCTTCGGGGCTCTTTACGGAGACGAGCCCTCCCTGAAGACCCCGCGCTCCCCGCCGCTCGTGGCTTGTGCCCCTCGGTGCCTGTGCGGTGCGGCTCCCAGCGGAAGGTCGGGGTTTCGGGTCTGTCTGCCCAGTGGCCGGGGGCTGAGGGCTTGGGTTCCCGCACCCCCCAGCTTCACAGGCTGGAACTGGCCGAGCGGAGAGGCCCCGACTTTGCCCTCACACCTGACGCGCTGCCGAGCCCTGGCCAGAGCATCTGGTCACTGTGCTCGCTGTCCTGTGAGACGGGGTGAGGACGGGTCGCCCGTGGGGGGGCACTGGACCCTTTCACCTCCATCTCCTCCCACTTCCAGATGCTTCCAAGATCTGGGAAGTCCCAGGACGAATGCTCTTCCTGGGGAGGCAGATCCACCTCGAGTCCTGTTTTGCCCTCGCACAGCTGAGGGCCCACGACCTTCCTTACTCCACGTCTAGGCTGTAAGACAGGGCCGAAGGGGGTCATTTGGGGCCCTTCTGTGCTGGGTGTCCAAGTAGGACACTGACCAAGGTGTCCCAACAGTGCTCTGTGAAGCGCGCTGTCACGCCGCACCGGTGCGCCCGGCGCTGGGGACTCGCCTCTGCCCAGACGGTGGCACCAAACGAAGGCGGTGTTGCCCCTGGTGGGAGGCGCTGGGTGGCAGTGCCCTTCCGGGCGTTCCCGGGCCGGCCTGTGCGGGGCTCCTCCCCTGGCGCCCCGGGAGCGCCCAGCACCGTTGGCAGGACGGGTGCAGTCAGCCAGAGCGGACGTGGGTTCACGAAGGAGAGGTTGGAGATCTCCTCACTTACTCGTCACCCCCTCCTTCCTTCCTTCCTTCTTTCCCCCGACTCGGACTCGTGGCCCCCTCTGTGCTGGGCTCCGTGCAGGGGCGGGGGTACGCGGTGCCACAAGACCGACGCGGTCCCTGCCCCCGGTCAGGAACTCCTCGTGGGGCCCCGGCGATAAAAAATGGCACATCCTATATGGTTAGATGGCAGTGAAGTCTGTGAAGGGAAAAAGCAGTGAGGGGGCTTTTATTTATTTTGAGAGAGAGAAAGAGAGAGAGGAGGGGAGGGGCAGAGAGAGAGGGAGAGAAAATCCCAAGCAGGCTCTGCGCTGTCAGCACAGAGCCCAGTGTGGGGCTCAATCTCACAAACCTTGAGATCATGACCTGAAACTGAAACCGAGGGGCGAAGCTCATCTGACTGAGTCCCCCAGGTGCCCCGGGGTTTCCTATTTCAGGAAGGAGGTTGAGGCCTCTCTGGGGGGGTGATGTCAGGCAAAATATGGGATGAAAAGGAGTAGCCAGGAATCGAGGGTCTGGGGCAGCTCACAGGGGCCTCTGGGCTGCAGGGAGGAGTCTGGACCTGGTCCTTGGGTCACCAGGGGCTGATGGGGCTGGGGTGGACAGATGCCCTGCCCTGGCGCCAGCACCTGGGGCTGAGTAAGTGACCTGCTCTAACCCAGTGACCTGTCCCTGTGCCCACTCGAGGGTGTGGGCCATCTGCGTGAACAGGCTGGTGGCCTCGGTGTCTGTGCAGCTGGGACAGGGACGCTGGGCTCAGCGGGCAAGGAGGGTGCTTGGTTATGTCAGAAAAGCAGGTTGTCGGGGCGCCTGGGTGGCTTAGTCGGTTGAGCGTCCGACTTTCACTTAGGTCATGATCTCGCGGTTCGTGGGTTCGAGCCCCGCGTCGGGCTCTGTGCTGACTGCCAGCTCAGGGCCTGGAGCCTGTTTCAGTCTGTGACTCTCTCTCTCTCTGACCCTCCCCTGCTCACACTGTCTCTCTCTCTGTCTCCTAGAAATAAATAAAACATTTAAAAAAAAAAAAAAAGAAAAGCAGCTTGTCAACGCAGAGACATCCTTTTCCTCTTCCCTGCCCCATCCCCAGCAGGTCTGTGGCCTCTGGTCACCGTGGTGGACAGAGCCCTCTTCTGGGTACAGGTAAGGATTTGGGGCCCCTCCGGGAAACGAGCATCGGGCACAAGGCGGGGCTTGTGCTTTTCAAAACCTGACGCCTCTGAGCCTCTTCCTCCCGCCTCCTTTTCCTTCCGTTGTCTTTTCTCACAAAGGACAGAGATTTCTTCTATGACAGAGTTCCAGTGTCAGATAAAGGTCAGCACCATGACCTTGAGCTGGCCCCGGGCTCTCCTGATGCAGCCCAGGCTCCAGGTCAGGTTTGCTGTGCAGTCTGGGCTGTGAAAGGTGGGCCTTCTCCCCTCCTTCATGAACCCGGAGCCTTCCGCCTAGACAAGGCCTTGCACTTGGACTCTCCGTGCCGTGCCATTTCCGGTCCCAGGGTACAGCTGGCTTCCCAGGCAGCGAGGGGATTTGCATGAGAAAGCTGCTTTCTTCGCGCACACAGAGCCCCACCACCTTTCAGTCGGAACCTTATCATGTCCATCAAAGGCATTTTGGGTATTATCATATTTCTTCCCTCCTGCTCCTCCTCCTCCTCCCACCCGTGTTGAAAGCCACTTTTAACTAAATGGAGTCAGATGAAAGCCAGATTAGCTGCTTTGCTTTTCTCATGTCCAATAATGATTTAATGCTGTCTTTGTCCCGATTTAGAAATAAATTAAGGCGCCTTTTAAAATCGTCGCCCCAGGTTCTAAGAGGTTGGAGAAAACAACCATTATGTTTCCTTAACAACCTTTTCTTCCTCGTCCCGTACAGGGCCGAGGTACGTCTGTTGGTCTGACGCCCAACAACCTAAATAGAGTGGCATCGGTGTTATTTTCAGGCATGTGCACTGACAGCTTCGCAGAGACAGGAGAGGGAGGGAGACAGCCATGGGCCTCGAGAGGGGTC